TCTTTGAAAAAAATGTGTAAAAGTTATGTTGAAAGGCATTAATTGTTTATTCAAATCATTCATATTTTCTATCATCAAGGAGATTTCATGTTCTGGATGTGGAATTTATAAAAAGTCTAAAATACTTGAATTTCTGCTTTTGAATATATTTCATTTTAAGACTCCAATGGCTGTCCATAATTTTAAGTCCAACTTAGAGATAAGTTCTACTTAGGATCTTTGAGAAACACCCCCCAGATCTCATATAGCATTCATAACTTTTATCATTGGGACAATTGATTTGAAACTTGCCATTCTGGTTTGCTGATATTTCTGCTCTCATACAAATTAACTTATTACAAAGATTGGATTGCTCTTCAGTATGATACCAAAATGCCAGAATCTCATGGGACTTTGAAATAATTTAATTGGGAAATCCTAATTTATAATTATAATAATAAAGTCATTTATATATATATATATATAGCGCATAATAATAAATTATCTATGTGCTTATGACGTAAAGTAAAGAATTGAAGAGGAAATTGAGAGCAGAGAGAAAGGTTGAAAGCAGAAATGAAGATAAATGAAATCACCAATTAGGAGCAAAGGTTATCATTAAAACAAAAATTATAGTCAAATTATTTTCATTCATAGGCAAGATGGAAGATAATGAATAAATACATGTACGTGCAAATTGCCAAATCGCATTACAGTGGTGTCAGCTAGTATCTATGGCAAGCCTTTCATAAGTTGATTTACTAACATGCATGGGTGTATCTGGAAAAGAAATACTGAAATGGGTGAAACAGTCTCTAGATGAAAACGTGTGTGCAGCTGATGTACATTGTACTGTCCAACCCAATTTTCAACTCAATAGCTACATGTATCTCAGTGAAAAATTTCTGCTACTGTCATTTCGTTCACATCTTTCATTTTGTTGATAACCTTTATTGTGCAAATTTGATGTACCCGTAAGGTATTCTCAGTGAGTGACTATTGTTGTGGTCTACCGTGATGAGGCTTACCAAATATTGACTTTTGTATTTTCTATTACGTGATGAAAATATTACGTGATATGTATGATAGAAAATCAGAAATATGCTAGTCATTTTTCTGTCGGGGGAAAAAATAAACTCAGTAATTTTCCCCCCTTTTTTTTCCCCGACAGTAAAATGACTTGCATATATTTCTATTATATGAGTACAATTTCTTTTTGCATTTCCATTGTTATACTATGTAATTACGATAAGTAAATTTGCTTCTCTTTGTTGACTCATGATTTAATAAAACAGAGGGAAAACTAATCAGAGAGTGTATGATGAACATCAATAAAAAGCATAATTAGTTATTAATGAGTACAGGTTAATATATGATTCATTAAGGTGGGGTGTTGTTTCTCATGGTATGAAAGATTGATCATGCCTGCAGCTGATCTGAGTGAATGGTTTATTAGAAGATTATGAGATTGTCTTGAACTTGAGGAATAGTGCAAGAGAAGATGCATATTAGGAGAGAGAGAGAGGTAGAAGAAGTAAAGAGAGAGAGAGAGAGAGAGAGAAAATATACACACAGAGAGAGAGCAAGGAAGTGAAAGAGAGAGAGAGAGAGAAAGAGAGAGGAAAATAGAAAGAGAGAGAGGAAGAAAAAGAGTGATTGGGAGTGAGAGAGAGGGAAATGATGGATAAGAGGGATTGGAACACTTGAGAGAGAGAGAGAAAGAAAGAATTATTGAAGAGAGAAAGAGAAGAAAAAGAAAAGGATAGGCAGAGGAGGGTGAAAGAAAAGAGAAAGGAGAGAGAAAGAGAGAGAGATTAGTGTAAGTGGTAGAGACAATTATTATGAGAGTTAAATGAAGTACTGTACCTACATTACCTACATGTATGACAAAAAATGAGCTGTGGCTTTACAGTAGCACTAGCAGCGGTGGTGGTGACAGTGATAATAATAATTATTATAGTCATCATTTTTTATAGCACCATTTGATAGAGCAGATAAAAGGTGCTTATTACCATAAACATAGTCATACAGTACATGTACATACTTCAAATTCCAAGAGATGGGATTGCCAAAAAAGAGAGATATACACAAAAAGCATTAGCTGCACAGACAGTAATTACAAAGGTACTTAATAAATGACAAATATAACAAAAGGATTAATGGTATGAAAGAAAAATAGTACACCTAATGTTCTGTACTATTATAGCATCGATCCATTAATCCAATTGTCTGTACTTATATTAATCAGCCTAAGATATGAACGTATTGAGAAGATAGATAAGCTACCTCAGAACAAGAAACTCGGACAAATTTTCTAGTGGTTCAGTAAAATTCATAAAATATTGTCTCTTGGAAAGATGAGGACATGCAGTTTTGGTATCTTACAAAAGAATATTTGTATATTATGTTAAAAATAAAAAATAGTAATAGTAATAATGATATATATATAAAATACATTGATGATGTCTCTAAGCACTTTACCTTTGCGTTTACACAATGGATGCATCATGCACATTTTCCACTCCCTGGGGAGCATTCCAGCCAGGTGCCATTTTACAAATGTTTGTAATACTGAGCAAACTACAATGACTTTCACATTCTACCAGGTACCCATTCAACACCTGGGTGGAGAGTGGCAAAATTGGATTAATATCTTGCCAAAGGACATTATTGTCGGTTTGCAGTCGAACCCTCGACCAATAGAAAGAGAGTCGAGTGAATGAACCACTATACCACGACACAGCTGCATTTTGCTGATTTTTCTTTGTTTAAAGCAAGTTTCAGTGGTAAATACTTGGTTTCACATGCACTTTTGCATTTTAGGCCAAGTGTCATATGAATTAAAATCAAACAGATATGACATTTTCAAAATATAATTCAGAAAAGTAAACAAAACCTTCATATGAGTTTTATTTTATTGTATTTCTGTTTTAAAGAGAAGGTTGAGTTCTGGGAAGAGGTGAAAAATAATTTGTGAGCGTTATCATTCTTATTATGCAAGTGTGGAAGAACATCAGATAAGACATGTTCCCTGAAAAGCATGGCTCTTCAAATGCCTTCATATTCTAAATATGTCATGTAACATCGTAAAAATCCATGGTAGGATTTTTACGCCACGTGTTTGTTTAGTCCCATATACATCTTTCTGTGTACAGTGTTCGTAACTTTACCAAGACTTGGCCAAATTTCTTATCATTTTGATGATTCCAGAACCTTACAATACACACAAATTCTTATATGCTAGATGATCAACCTTTTCTGGTCGATTCCACAACGTTTCTTTCACAATGCAATCTCATGACCAGAACTCAACTTCATCTTTAAGCACCACATTAGAACACAGCAAAAGTGAACATTGATAAGAACAGGGCAACCTCTAAAAAATCATACAAAATCTAAGGCTCATTAAAACTAAACATGTTCTAATCATAGTTTAATATGCCTTAAAGTGGGTCATAATGGGCTATGTGCATGCATGGGCAGACAATTTTACCCAGCATGTTTCATTGATGTTATTGATCGATATTGATATATTCATGCATATTAAACCTATTATTGTAGTGACAAGAAACTCAAGGTCTGGACGCTGTATCAAATTATCAAGGCCATATATGATCATTTAAAAGATTTATGTCATTATTAGCTGCAGATTTAAACTATTATTTGATCTGTGTTACAGTCTACATGTACAGAAGTGAATAAATCATGGAATATTTGTTTATATCTAATCATAGGTAAATGTATTTAAGCACAAAATTAAGTGTAATTTTACATTGTAAAGAAAAATAATCTGTAATCAATGCCCCTAAAATAGGACATACAGTAGTACTATACCCAGCCCAAACATTCTTTTAAATTATAGTACTTTTCAAACGATCCCATCTGCCATATGGCATCTTTACTATCTTTCTTTCTTTCTATCTCTCTCTCTCTCTCTTTCTCTCTCTTTCTCTCTCTTTCTCTTTCTTTCTCTTTCACTCTCTCTCTTTCACGCTCTCTCTTTCTTTCTCTTTTTGCAATGTGAGCTAGAAAGAAAGTGAACCCATCTTATGAGTTGTTGCTGTCCCATAGGGCCCTCTGTGCATTCCATGTTGAGAGGGATGGCTGGTATTGACTTTGATGTTGAAGTGTGCTGGAATGCATTACTTCAGGCTGAAATGTGACGATTCTCTCCATCTCCACCAAACCCTGCACATTCATAGAAAGTCGGCCCGTGTTATTTGCCTTAGGCAGAGGCATTCAAATGTGGAGTTTAGAATAGTGGCACGAGAGGTGACTTGTACTCTCTGCTCTTGAACATTTTCAAGAGAAATTTGAAGTGGTCGATTTGCTACATGGCTTAAAATATCAAAAGTTCAAGCAAAAGATGTATTCGATTAGGACTGTGGTGAAAAAAATGATCTAAGTGTAATGTTTTTCTCTGTTTTCAACAGAGTGGCAGAGAGGGAGGGAGCAGGGCGACAAAGAGGGAGAGAAGAAAGATTTATATGTATGAGACACAACGACAGCAAGAGAGAAACAGAGAGAGAGAGAGAGAGAGAGAGAGAGAGAGAGAGAAAGTCAGTTTTATTGTTATGTCTTTCTCACAAGTGTACAGTGTAAGGGCATGGAATCAAGCACTACTGTTCTACTGTTTTTTTTTAACAAGAACTTTATTAAAATGTGCCACTCTCAATCCAGGTGAAGTATATGGTGTGATGAAGTCTGTGAGTACCCAGTGATAACTTAGCCCAGCTGGCCTAGCTCATGCTAGGATAGTAGTGTAGTGCCATTAGCAGTTCTTCCTTTTCTGTTTTTCCTGCTGCTCAATTGTACTGGTGTCCCTGTAGCCTGATTCTGTGTGGTACATGAATGGACATGATACAACATGAGTACTCAACAACAATTTACCACCATTATTTTACAAATGTGTTTGGAGATTGATGACTGAGGTCATATTGTAATTTTCTAAATACATGATTCTCGTATTAATATTCTTGTTCATATCATATTTTAACTATGTTATCATTTTGTTCTGTCTACAGGCGAACCCGATCCATCAATGCACCGGTCCCGTCCCCATCCTTCGGTCCCAAGGCCATGCTCAAGAGGGTTCCAGTCTCACAGATAATGTAAGTAACCGTTCTTTGTGCTTCTAGAGACACTAAAAGAATCCATCTTTAATATTCCAATTGGCAACATTAAAAATAATTATAAAAAAATATTTAAAAAAATCAATTTTCTGATAAATTGAACCCAGAAATTATTGTCTGATACAACATTGTTCAAAATAGTAATACACAATTCATTCAAAGAATGATATACACAACGCTAATTCGCTCGAGGGGAAATACTCATTTTAAAAATTCTACTTTGTGTTGCCAATTTAAAGATTTTATTCACTCATGTTATGTTCATTTCTTATTTACTTCTCTTGTTGTAATTTGCCTGAACTGCCCATTTTGTCTGCTCATATTTGTGTCAAGGTAACTTTAATAGCACGGTATTAATAAATGAAGTGGCTAAAGTTGGTTATTGCATATCTAATTCAAAGTACAAAGTCAGAAGTCCAGATCAGTATAATACTCTTATTCTCTCTAAACAGTCCCCCGAAGTATACTATAGACCTACATATTGCTGCTGGGAATTTCATAGAAATTTCCTTTCCGAAATGCTGTATATGCGAGAGACAAGCAATTTTCAGGCTGCATCTTTTCTGCCGTTCGTTGTGTGATAGCCTTCTGTGCTGTCCATGGACAATTTAAGGCCAATATTCAATTTATTCACAATTTATTATTGTATGGAAAAAGGTCAGACACCACGTTCAAATACACATTGCCAGGTATATATATCCTCTGTTGACTCTGTGTCGAATAAAGAAAACACCCTTCTAGCTAGCTTCACAGAGACTATCTTCACAGAGACTATCTCACCATGCAAGGGGTGCAGTATAGATAATGCAGGACTCCCCGTTAACTTCCATGAAACTGGGTCACTTTAATGGAAATTGGCAAACGTTTTGGTAGTGGGTCCTGGTAAATTTTTTGATGGAATTATTATTCAAATTTTGGGACATCACCCTGAGTTTCTGATGGTTATTAATTTGCTATTGGGTCCTGATAGCGGTTAGGGAGACCCAACATTTGCTCCGTCACAAGTTGCTCCAGGCTTTATTTCATTTTGCAAGAGATTTTGGGTTAGGATCAGATTTTGGATGTTTATTTTTAAAGTTTGGGTTAATGCAGGGTTTCTTTGTCACTAGCTTGAGTTACTGGGGTCTGGAGTGACATCATTTTAGAGGATTGTGTGAAGCAGCCCTCTTTGATTGTTAAGAAAAAAGTGGGAGGGTGGTAGAGATTGAATTTCTTGGGTCCATGTGTATCAGACCTAGGATAGTGTCAATGCCCTGGTTTTGCATTAGGGTTAGGGTTAGGGTCTGTTACATCCAGGATTCAATACAATCTAATGAAAGAAATGGAACCTGGAGAAATTGTCGCTGGGGCACGTACGTGTCGTAAAATCAATAAATCTACACCTACATTTATATCTTACAATCCAGAACTCAAATACAGGTGTAAAATAATTGCCTTATACAACCGCAGTTGATACAAAAATAACGCAGATAAATTTTGACGGGCGCCCCATCTGCAAATGGGCAAGAGCATTGTGTTTGTTCCATTAGCAGGTAGTGTCCCATGCATGTACGCTAATAAGTATGTTAATGGAATTAGGTGTTCTTGAAAACCTCTAATAAAGTCTCCCTTCATCAAGCATTGTACACAAAATTCACTAGATGGAATTGATTCTAGTGTCTAAATGTTGAATAATGCTGGTGGAGAATTGATGGAAGAAAAGCCAATATTGATCAATTTGGTTTGAGGGAGGAGTTAATAGGGGGTTGAGAGTATAGGAATTCTTTTCATTTTATTATTAGAATTAGACTACTTCCAATATGTTTTGAAGTTGAAAATATGGGAGGTACATGTATGGTGAAGACATCACTTTGTGACATTCTAAAACTTAAAAAAGGAAACAAGAATGAATATTTCTTATCACATTTGAAAATACTCTAGAAATGCAAAGATAAGGATATGTTAAGTGTATACATGTATATGTTGAAAGAATGTTAAGAATCGTGCTGTCCGTTAAATGAATACATTTGAGTAATTTTTATTTCAAACCAGTGTTTGGGTCTATTTGAAATCATTCTCAATGCAAATAAATAGAATAAGTACGACAGACTGATCATCTCTTTAAAATCTGACATGAGAACATCCCAAATATGAATATGGCAGACTGACCTTAGAGTTAATTATATCCTCCAGTGTCTCCAAACTAATTTCCAAACCAGCTGCCCATGATAATAGATATGGTTTGGAGCCAGAAGGGCGTTAACTCGTACACTTTAACACAGAGTGAACACCCTTCTGGCTCTGAACAAATGATATAATTTGTTGAGAGTTAGAAGGGTATTAACTCAAAGTAGAAGTACATGTATATCTGATAATCCCCTTTTTGCTTTTTGCAAAATATATCAACGAAGAAGAAAAATCTCTGATGTATGACCTTTAATTCTTCCTTTCATTAAAATTTGACTAGAAGTCATACTCCATGTCTGAACATAATTGGCAGGCAGACCGAGTGAAAATTAGATGGTTCTAACTATTTGACATCTAAAGCATCGAAGGGGGGATTTTTATTAAAAAGGTGATAGATTGACGTGGTTAAAATGAGTGAGACGAAAAGCCGATGACTGGCGTAGAATTATTTGGTTAATTAGGGTGATGTGTTTGTCTGAATTGCAGTGTTGTCAGGAGCGAGGTTTGGAGATATATTATTGTAGTCTGGCAAAGGTTTTTTTTATATTTCCAGGCAATTTTGAAGTGGATTGTGATATTAAATTTCCACTTTTTTACTTTCCAAGTTCCAGGCCTTATATGCATTTTATAATCCTCTCTAGTTTCCACACATATGAACCTTTTAAAATTATTATCATTTTAATATTGAAATTGGAAGATAAATATTGAGTGCTTCCCTATCCCCGCCCCTTAAAAAGAAAAGAAATGTAGGCATCATTATTATATGAAATAATTCTGCAATTGTTGATTTCGCTTGACTGAATTGACCAACATCATTCAATCACATGGACAGGCAAGCTAGAGGAAAATTATGGATAACATTTGGAAGGATGGCTATTGTATTTTTGTTTGTATTGCCCTGTTTTTTCATTTGTTACAATCCACAAACTAATTGACTCAATCAATCAATCAATCAATCAATCAATCAATCAATCAATCAATCAATCAATCAATCAATCAATCAATCAATCAATCAATCAATCAATCAATCAATCAATCAATCAATCAATCAATCAATCAATCAATCAATCAATCAATCAATCAATCAATCAATCAATCAATCAATCAATCAATCAATCAATCAATCAATCAATCAATCAATCATGTACCTTAATGGGTAATTTATTTTAATGGATAAATTGAACGGGAGGGTGAAAATAGCATACAGAGTGTTGTAGCTTTTTTTTGCATAAAGTTTACAATTCAGTTTCAATTTTTATTCTTTTATTACAAAATAAACAGATCATTTATGCGACATTTTTTCTTTTAGTCTCTTCTCTAATTTGTCTTCAATGGCTCTTTACTGATTCATCTTTGTATCCCAGTCAAGAGGTACTTTAAGCTTGTCTCATCTAATTATAGATGCTCATCATCAAATGAGTACATTGTTATTACATGTGGTTTCCGCTATTGTGGTATAAATACAGCCTGGATAATGAGGAATTTCTGTTCTTGAAATCCTGTACATTACAGAAAAAGAGAAAGAAAGATTCTTTGTAATGATAATACCGGTAATAATAATAATAATAATAATAATAATAATAATAATAATAATAATAATATGTCTTGTTTATCCAGGGTAGTCACATCAGTATTCATACTGTTCTCCCTGAGGCTCCTGCAATCATATCATTATGATGATGGTTATGATCATGATAAGGATGATGATGATTGTCATCTCTTGTTTTTCCCTCCACCTGTAGGCATGTGACGGATCCCTCTAGCCAGCGCCTCGTATGGAAAGCCACTCCCCTCTCTGTGCTCATCATTAAAAAGATCTTTGACACATCGGTTTTGGGACCTTTCAAAGAGATGACCAAATGGCTTTCACAGGTAAAAGGATGTAGCATGAACAGCATGTCTTTGCCAGAAGGGCACTGATGCTTTTGCATATAGTGTGTGTAACATGGAATCTTTCATAACCATGGTAGCCTTGGGATTTAAGCAAAGGCAGGAAAGACTTAAAAATATATAGTGACCAGTATTTTTGGACAAGTGATAATTTTTTAATTTTCTTAATTTTTTTTTGTACTAGATATTTTGTAATCATAACAATAAATTGTTTAGCTTTGATATTTCTGGTTCACTGTCCTTATCATTTTGTTCAGAGCCAGAAGGTTATTGACTCTTTGTAAAAATTCACTTTTTCTTTCCTATCAACGTTCTGTTATATAAAATGTAATTTTCATAATAATATCTATAATGTTCTCTCTGTAACTGTGTTACCTTATTATGGGCGTTCCCAACTCAAGCTATGCTTTCCGGGTTTTCGCCTCCTTCCGTATCTGATTTACTGTATACTCTATGTTGAAATAAATGTTATATATATCATGTTTATATACATTGTGTTTCATATTGTACTGTTGAGAAGGAAATAAATGTTAATAAATACAAAATACAAAGCTAAAGTCCTTTTAGATCTCGCTAAATGATATATTTTGTTTGAACAATAGTATTGATCACAGAGCAAAATGGCTAGAGCATGTGTGGTACAACTACAAATTTACTGTTTTATTTTTTTGCCTATATTTTGATGTTTTTTGAAGATCATTTGCTAATTTGGAACATACATAAACAAATTATTTATAGATTACCTTTTATGAATAAATATGTACTTGTAACATACATATTGTTTAAATATAAAATTCATAAATCCTATTTTTTGTTACAGGAGAAGAATCTAGTGATCTATGTAGAAGGCAAAGTACAAGAGGATGAAGATCTGTTAGCCAACAAGGAGTTCTCTACCCTCATGAAGAAATTTAAAACATTCAAAGAAGGTAAGACAATCCACTGTTTCATCTCCTCGTAGCTGAGCTATTTTAGAAAGAAAAACACTCCTGAAAGTCATGCCAATAGCTCAAAGCAGTATGTGAAGGACTGGTATTGACTTTTGTCTCATCATTGCAAGCAATAATATATCTTCAGATGAAATCAAAGTCCATTGTGTAGAATGATAACATGGAGTGTTATTCAAGGGGGGGGGGGGGGGGGGCAATTACAACACAAATTGTTCAGAAAAATCGCGAGGAGGTAATTGCCAGCTGAAGGTAAGTTGAATATTAAAAATGGGAACTAATATACGCAGTGAGCTGAGACCGTGAGATTCTGCTCTTTAAATGGAGATATAAATACAATTATTTACCAAGGTATAGAAGAGAGATAAAATTGGTTGCTTTTATTTCTTTATTTCTAGTTTACTGCTGATTGTTTTTTTTTTTTTTTTTTTTGTGCGTGTTTTGGGGCTCACAACAGCGACTCCTATCTAATTAGCCTAAGGTTGTTTTTTAATAGATTATCCTGTTGATTCTAGAATCTCTTATCAAGAGTAGTGATTGATTGATTAATTGCGACTCCAAATGAGCTTGATATCATTTTCAACTTGTAACGTATGCACCTTTGCAATTAATTAATGGATTTGTGGTTAATTCTGATCATTTGCAGCTGTTTATACATCTTATTTTCTCTTCTTTATATGTCATAGTTTCCCTGTGAGTACCGTATTGATATCGACCCGTTTTACCCTATCTCTATGACCTAGGTGATGACCTGAGCGATAGGATAGACTTCATCATCTGCCTGGGAGGAGATGGCACCCTTCTCTGGGCATCCTCGTTGTTCCAGGAGGGCAGCGTACCTCCCGTCATGGCCTATCACTTAGGATCCCTAGGATTCCTCACACCGTTTGAGTTTGAAGATTTCAAGGAATCCGTCAATGTCTTCCTAGAAGGTATGTACCTCTGTCGGTTTGTATGACACTTGGTTCTGCTCCTTGGTCAATTTCACAATGATGTTAGTGATGATGATGATGTTGATGAAGACGGTGTTGATGATAATAATGTGATATTGATATAGATGAAGATGAAGATATAGATGATGATAGTGATGAAGACTGTTTAAGGAAGATGGTGGTGGTAATGATGATAATGATGGTGGTGATGATGATGGTGGTAATGATGGTGGTTATGGTGATGATGGTGATGGTGTTGATGATGATGATACTAAAAATAGTAGTTTTATTTTAGACAAAGTACAATAAATTTCTACTCTTCTGCTATCCCAATCCAGGTAATGCAGCTGTCACGTTAAGAAGTCGACTGAAGTGTCTCATATTTGAGAACTCTGAGATCCCCAATGGCCTAGAGGTTGACAACAGTGATGCCTTGAAACCTCCCAGCAAGAAACCCGATCCACCCAACCTCAAATTCAAATTCCAGGTGAATGAAATGAAAACTTAAAATGCTACATTGTTTTGGAGTACTGGACTACGTAAAAATATCCAAAGGACATAAGTGCCATGCCAGGGATTGAACCCATGACCTTTGATTTAGGGTTCAAGCAATTGTCTGAAGCTGGAATCACAAACATGAGTCACAAATCAAAACGCTGGTACAAAACATGGTTACTGCGGGAGATCGTTCAAACGATTTATCATCAACGCAGCGCAGTTTGACCCAGGAAGTATAGGTCAACGTCGGAGCAGAGCATATGCACAGTGCTAGTGTGCACAAACTGCATGCAAAGCAGGCCACGATAATGCCGTCATAGAATCATGATTGAGATCTCTGTTGCGTTCAAGCGATTTTTGGCACAAAACGCATCTTTTTCAGCGTTTCTTGTTTGAGTTTTGAAACGCATTTATTGCACGACCGACAAAAAATCGCTTGAAGTCGCTTGAACACAACCGTGTTTTAAACTAAACGTCTTTGAAAACAGTGTTTCTAGGGTGAAAAAGTGTCACTTGAACGCACTTATGACACCTCTTTCTCTTTCTCATCTTGTATCTACCAGGTCATGAATGACGTCGTGATAGACAGAGGTCCATCTCCTTATCTATCAAACCTAGATCTCTTCATCGATGGTCGACACGTCACAACGGTCCAGGGCGATGGTGAGTCTCTATTTAGATGCCTTACAAATAATCTCCCTCTGCCACATGTTATTTATTCCTCTCTTTTTGAAACATTCTGTGTGAAGAGTATATGAAATAGACTGTATTCCTAATTTAGCCTTATGAGATTCATAATTTTTTCTGCGAAAGATAGGCAGGTATGAGTTTCTTGCTGTGAAAATGACTGTTGACAATTTGCAAATCTTCATGTTGAGAACATTTCTGGCTTTAGTAGTACTTTTGAGATTGCAATATCAATATCGCAAGCCTACTGCATAATATCATTAATATTCTGGAAATTTGAAATTTTGATATCTTCCTGATTAATGCTCTGAATGATGAATTAAGACTTTATATCAAAATGTTGGTTCATTGTAGACATCTCTGTGGAGTAAAGACTAAAATCAGCTACAAAATGTATACTAATTCATGATGTCACTGATTCATATTCATATGTGCCTCCATTCGTAGGGGTTAATATTAATAGAAACTGGAATTGTAGCCTAACAATCAATATTTGTGAAGATAATTTGAGAATATGTCTTGTACTTTGATCCTGATTTTAAGCCAGCACGATTGCTACATGTACCAAAAGGAAGTCACAAGAAATAAGCACCGGTTTTGGAAGTGAAATATGCATGCATTGTGCAATGCTATTGTGCAATGCATTGCCATCAGTCAAATGCACGTATGCAATAATATTTTCCCCAGGGTTAGCTTTTAATGAATAATTGAGCACAAATGCTGTTTGATTAATGCATGGATGCAGTTTGTTCCCAGCATTTGCTGGATGTTTTCTATTGTTTGATGAGTATCGTAGAACCATTGTAGGTTTTTTTTTTTTGTGTGCAATGATCAGCCAACCAGAAAGGTAAAAAGACTGCTAGGATAATAATGTAATGCATTAAAAACATCCTGGATCTTAGGAAAAAAACATTCATTTGAATCATGAATCACTATTTTGCGGTCAGATTCCAGAAATGATTTACTGCTTCAATGTTCCTCTCTCTCTTTAAAGAAAATGAAAAATATTTTCAATGTTGTTTTCAATTTCAATAAATACAGGGATTATGAATGTTTTTTAAACTTTCTACAGACTATTCATGTTTTATACAGTAGGCTTACGGTTGCACCATGTGAGAGAGAGAGGGGAGGGGGGGGGGGGAGGATTGGGGAGTCCTGAAAAGGACTGTCTGTAATCTTTCTTTCTTGAGAGTGTGTGTAGTCCTGAAAAAGACTGTTGGTAATCTTTCTTGTGTTTTTTTCTTCTCATGACAGGTTTAATAATTTCCACTCCTACTGGTAGCACAGCCTATGCAGCAGCAGCAGGAGCCGCAATGGTACACCCCAACGTCCCTGCAATACTCATCACCCCTATCTGCCCACATACATTGTCCTTTAGGCCCATTGTAGTACCTGCTGGTGTGGAACTCAAGGTACGTACCATTGTCTGAATACAGGGGTGTCGTAGAACCTTTTGTGTGAGGGATAATTTAGTTCTATTTTTCTCCATCATCCTGTCATAGTCATCACCCCTATCTGACCATATAGACTCTTCTGTATGCCCATTGTAGTACCCGCTGGTATTGAACTTAAGTCATGTACCATTGTCTGAATATAGAGGTGTCGTAGAACATTTGTTTGTGATGGACATTCCATCCGTCCTTGTCAATTCTTTCAGAAATCGCTAGAACTCGTGTCAAAGTGACATGTATATTTTTGTAACTTAGGCATGGTTATAACTCAAAGCATGCACAATCTAAAGCTTACAAGATGGTATAGATAATGGTATACGGTAATGAAAAAAGAATTGTACAGTCTCATGTAATTATATTTACAATACTTTAACCAGAAAAAATATATCAGGATTTCATCAAACGTTTGGCAGCTACCTATTACAATCAGTACACATTTAGAACACCTGTGTGAAATTTAGATAATGTCTCTGTGTAAATATATGTAAATTACAACATTATACATTTGACACTTTCAGGTAGTTAAGCTTTACATAATGTTATTTTTTAATGAGAGGTGTCTTAAGCACAGTTATCTACAATAAAGAATTGGCGATCTTCTTGTATGAACAAATGTTTTATGCTGTTGAGATTTAGATGGATTGCAAGCTTAACGAATTCTTCTTTACTTGTGTACGTGCAGGTTTCTGTTTCACCGGATGCAAGGCATACAGCCTGGGCCTCTCTGGATGGAAGGAATAGACAAGAACTCAAGAAAGGATTCTGGTAAGTGATGATTGCAGGCAGGCATACTAGAGCTTGATGTCAGTTTGTGTGTGTGTGTGTGTGGGGGGGGGGGGGGGGGCGGAAAAGTAGAGAGAGAGAGAGGGGGGGGGAGGTACTGTCAGAGAGAGGGGGGAAGGGACGGTGAGAGAAAGAGAGAGACATAGCCGGACCCAAAAAAAGGGGGGGGGGCAGGGAACAAGAGTGAGGGATGGAAGGAATCAAGGAGAAATATAGAAGACAAAAAATTGGAAAAAAAGACAAGATGAGGGGCGAGTAAGAGATAGAGAAAGAGAGGAGGGAGGGCAAAGCAGTAGACAGAAGGGGGAAGGGAGAAGATATTGTCAAGGAAAAAAAAGGAATAATAATTCTAAATAGTTAAGAGGTGATCACTAATCAATTTTTAGAGATGTCAAAAGAAAGATTGAAAAACATTAACTTTTTTTGCATTAAAAACATGCCTTGAAGATAGAAAATTATATGGCTGTTCCGGGTTCATCGTCCATTCTAGTTTATCTTTATCTAAGCTTCATTGCGAGAAAATTGTGATGTCAATATTTACTCTTTTAAGATATGATCAGTCTTTGTATGAAAGGCAAGTCAACACTTTCAGATAATGAAGTTGACTTTTGAACATGCTATTCTAAAATATCTGTATTGTATGCATAAATTTGTCACAATTGCAAAGAGGAAACACAGTGAAAATGTAAATGTAGATTTATAGATATGATAGATTTATATCAATCCATCCATACATGTAGATAGAGATAGAGAAGTTGAAGTTTGAAGTTTATTAACAACAACAAAATGTATGTACATCATAAAACAAAGTACAATGTATGCAAGGCAGAACAATAAAATATGAATTGTACATAAGGTACAAAACAATGCAATACTGCAAAAGATTAATAATGCTTACATAAAACACATTTTTACAAATGTTCAAGTTGATGCTAAAAGAAAACCAAAAGTTTCAATGACACATGTTTATAACAATGGCAAAAAGCTTAGATAGGTATGGAGAAAATCAAAGAGATTTCTTACTGGTAATCAAAGTCCAACATGTCATGATCTATTATTACAAACAAACTCTATTATACTTTGAATATGTTTATTTCATCAGTCTGTAATAAACATAGTAAAGAGGAACTAACTACATGTATTCTCCATGCATTGATTGCTTAAGTGGGAAGTAGTCTTCTGTGATTGTCTTGTAAGAATGTTTCACTTCCACCTTTTTTAAATGAAAAGCTAGGGACCAGAAACATTTTCATTTCATTTCCATAAAAATTTAATGTCATATTTCAGTTTGTTTTTAAAATGCTTCTGACTACAATAAACAGTAATTATATAATTGTATCTATCCATTCATTGTCAGTTTGCTGTCAGTTAATTGTCAATTTAGCCACAACCTTGAAATATGGCTTTTAGTTCAATTCCATTCAATTTTGTATTTATTTCATTTCCAAAGAAAGATAAACAAAGGTATTGTAGATATTATTACAGAAAATATGAAGAAAAAAAATAGTATACAAGTACATTTTTACACAAAATAACATTATTAAAAGAAATTCTTAATTTCTGAGGAAATTGGGGGATCCACTAAAAAGCAGTGCTTGCAGTTTTTGGATCCACCAGAAAAAAAAAAATAGTTAGAGGCGTCTACTCGGCACAAACATTCTCAAGGGCTTTATTTGCTATGACAATTCATTAAGTTTTAAAGTTTGTTTGTTTGGTGATAATATTCATTTGGTTTTTGCCAATTATATTTAATTGAAGTCAGGAAGTTCATTATGTCCGGACCAAGGACACTGGCCCGTCTCATGTCTGTCATGTTCGACAGCTGATTTCTTCTTTCTCGAGGCAGTTTAATTTGACTCGTTGGTTCTCATTAAAATTTATTAGGGTTTGTAAACACTATTCAAACTTTTTATGATGCAATGGAACAAACTAAATCAATTTAGCATAGACAGATTTTTGTTAGTTTCGCACCTGAGATATATGTGTTCTCCAGATCATTCCTCTGATAATTAATTCAAATTTAATTTGAGCTTCATAACAAATTCATTTGTGTTTGATATGAGCTTTCAAGAATAGAAGTGATTAATCTAAATTGATCTTCTTTTGTACTTGTACATGCAGCTTGAGGATCACGACGTCAGTCTACCCAGTGGCATCTGTGTGCAGCATAGATCAGATCTGTGATTGGTTTGACAGCCTGGTGGAGTGTCTCCACTGGAATGAACGGCAAACACAGAAATCATTCCGATCAAAGATCAAGGACAAATCATCAAACAACAACAACAAACAGAATGGTGGCTCCAGTAGTCCAGACTGATAAAACACTTCTAGTCTAGCAATCTCACATTTTCTACTTTGGCTTTACTATTGAGGACCAACTTTTGTCCTGACGGAGTGGGGAGTAAGTTTATATCATGTAACTGCGGGATCAAATCTATACCGAGGAAGACTAACATTTTTTCCAATTTTCTATTTTTGTTTTACTAATATGGACCTTCTTTGGCCTTGATTGAAGTGAAAGGGGGAGTAAGACAACATCATGTAATGGCATGATCAGAAATGCAATGAACAAGAATAAAATGATATACATTGTGTCTCCATCTTTCTACATTTATTGAAGAGTTTTACTGAAGAGGACCTACCTTTGCCCTGATGGAGTGGGAGTAAGTTTATAAGATGTAACTGCGGGATCAGAACTGCATTTAGCTAGACTTGAAGTAATCTCCATTTTGTTATTTTTTTCAAAACTTTTCATGAAGAGGACCTTATTTGGACAAGGATGAGGGAGTAAGTTTTGCAATGTAATGGCAGGATCAGACATTGTGTAAGCTGTTTTTCCAAGAAGTGATTTTTTTTTTTCCTTTCTGTGACAACACATCAAGTTTCGTTGGTTTTGATGCTGTGAAAATGGATGACCGTGGATGACAAAAACAACATGGAGTCCTGGATACCAAGATAAGCATCTTACTTTAAGTTTAAATATCAAAATCTGGAAGTGGAGTGGATTAAGCAGCTTGGATGACATTAGCAATCTAGTACCTAGATTGTTGATTATCTGCAAGGCCTCTATTGACCAAGATGGGCAAGTGGTGTTTTTCTTGTACCCTGTAGTACCATTCACCACTAGTACTGTTTCAACACTTCAATACAATCATTCTATTTGTACAATGCTCTCACTAGTGTTTCACAGGCGCTTTACATACACAAGAATGTCTTTTCAAAGAGGGTATTTATATGAATAGAAAGCACACTTGAGTGAATGCTAATGAACTCTATATGTGCTTCGGTCAACAAATGCAACAAACGGTGGTCTGCCATGGTCAACCTTTTTTTACATGTACAATGTGCATGTTTAACCTGCATTAAAACAATGTGGTGTAGGATTTCTATCCATAGCCGCATACAGATTTCAATAGTAAATGGGCAGAATCACAGCTATGTATTAACACTTTTGATACAATGTGCATAAAAAGGAAATTATAAAAATTGCCAAATTCAAACAAAAGACCTCATGATATTACCCAAAGTATGTGTGTGTGAGTGTTTATGTAATGACTTATGGCATTCTACATAGTGATAATGCTCTCTTTTTGTACATCTGGTTTTGGAATTGTTTTTGCATTTGAAAAAAAACGGTAAGCATGCGCATTTACTGAAATTAGGGAATTCATGTTACATTCCAGATATTTTATAAGATGACATACTTTTTCTTTGTGACATCTCTGGTAGAGTGTCTACCGTTATATATGACACCCCCCCCCCCCCTCTTTTTATTTGGAAGAGGGTATTTTATGTATCCAGCATAAAAAGGTATCATCAATAATGTATTTTAAACTTCTTTGCTCATTGTAAAATAAGATTACCACCCTGGCTTGACCATGCTCATTAGCCTGCATAAAGGTTATATACCAAAAGAGAAAATAAATCCTGAGCTGACTACAAGAAGGCTTTATTGTCAAGGGTAGTTACTGCCTTCTTGCTGGCAGCCACTGAAATATAGGTCCTCTTGTTTGATGGACTATAGAGTGGTGAAGTGTGACGTCATCAAAAATCTATTTTTTTAATGTCTCAATTTTTTCTTCATTTTCCGAAAGAGCATAAAAATAATGTCCAAATGTTGAAAACCAATAGGAAGTCAGTGTTATATTGCTCTAGTTCATAACATTTCGAGCCAGAGCAATATAACACTGAGTTCCCATAGGCAATCTTTTTATTCAGATGGTCATATCTCAGCCAATACTTAACATATTCAATTGGTTTTTGACATTTGGACATTATTTTTTATGCTCTTTCGAAAAATGAAGAAAAAATTGAGAAATTCCAAAAATAGATTTTGTATGATGTCACAGCTTCAGTACTCTATAAACTCTAGTATGTACGAGGGTCTGTCTCCCAAGTTGTTTGTTTTATTTAAGAAAGAGTTAAATGTGTACAAACTATATCGTTCATTTTTCTCTCTCTCTGATTTAAGGTTTCCTCTCTTCTTTAATGTACGACTATGACCTTGCAGGTTCTGATATCCTATTCTTTTGGAGATTATTTGAAAAAAATTCTCACATTTCTTCACATATTTTGTACAGAGCTGGACAAATATGAGGACTATGATTCTATCAATCAAATAATGATAAAACACTAGGTGCTAGAACTTATCAGTATGCAATTTATGTAATTAGTGTTTTCCAAATCAAATTTTCATCTTGTATTCTGTCAATTTATGAGCTGTATTGCACAAAGACTATGGATCAAGTTCCAATGAATTGTTATGTATGTGGTAAATTGAAATTAATGAACTTGTAATTAGGTCTTTTGTTTTACGTAAAGTACCCTTGCCAGAGGTCTGGGTCCTGTTTCATAAAACTTGATATCAATAACAAGTTACAAGCTACTGTTATAAGCTACTGAAATCAAGGCATCTGATTGGGTGAGAGCAAATTTATCATAGAAATTAAGCATTTTTTAAAAGTTTTATGAAACGGGCCCCTGGACTATTCTTTCTCCCAGGTATTTTGGAGCACTAGTAGTTACATTCTGGCCATCGTTTGTTTCTTTTTTATTTCTATTGCAAAAAAGAAATGGATAAAAACTGAATGAAATAGTGTCTGTGGTATACATAAACCTAGTAGATCCAGAAAGAGGCATGCATTTGATGCAGTGTGATCAAATGGTAATAACGTGAAAGAAACAGGCAATCAGAAGTGCATTGATTTTAATTGCATACTGGTACACTTAATGTTTTCCATGCTCCATGCAGTGTTTATAAACTGTTTCTGTTCATAGCACCCCTTTTTTTTAAAATTTGCTAGAGCAAAATTGAGTTTCATTTTGATGTTTTATCACAGCTCTTACCTGCCCCTGTGGACTCCTTTTTGCTGGCTATGTGGTGGTGATGATGATGATGATATCTGTGTGTCCCATATTTATAGTGGCACATGCACAGTTAGGTAGTGGATAATTGTCCAAACCTCTCAATGGAAGACAATTTCAATGTTTGTTCATTCTAATATGCCCTTATGTCACCCATTCTTGTTTTTACATTTTGAGTATTTAGATGACAACATTCCACTGTGCCATAAAGATTAGTTGACTGCTAGACTTATTGCAATGGAAAGAAATATAGTTAATGACGTCACTTGTCTTCTATGTCTATATATTCTTTTATTATATTTTTAGTGCAAAGTATAGAAATGTGTATTGGACTGGATGATAAAAGTTTTGTTAGTTTGTATTGAAATCTGGTTACACTATTTCATCTTTTGAGCGCCAGAAGGGCATATACTCTGTTAAAGATATATGCCATTCAGGGTGGTATTCTGTAAGCGATGTTATCTGTTATGTTAGTAAAATATTGTTAACTGCCATAACAAATCAAAATGACAAACCATTGGTTAGTGTATGCGCAAAGCTGGCTGCGAAACCCTTAAGTTAAAAGAGATATCTGCCCAAGCTCTAGTGGCAAGTGTTAGTACTACGCATTAATTTAAGTATGTTATAATTATCATTTCCTCTAACATAAAAGACAATATCATTTTCAGACTACAGCCCTGGGTCTTATCAAACAGTGTGATGTTGAAAGGGGTTAAAGAAAAATATCTTCTTGATATTTTGCTTTTGTTGTCTTTTGCAGACTATCACTTGCCTTTAACCCATTATTATACTTGGCTTGCCTGCAATGTCAATTTTTTTCCTTATGTTTAGCTACATGACACTTTCCAAAATATATCAATAGAATTCTACAGTTACCAACTTTCAATGGGGAAAAAGATTGATTTCAAATTCTTCACTGTTTTGCCTAGTTAAGCTTATTTTGCTTATTAAAATTCCTGGTTTCAGTTGACACTAGTTACTGTACAAAATAAGGGTACAGATTGTGAAATTTTGAACTTTCTCCTTGTGAGTCTGATGTGTTTTCAGGACTATGATTCAAAGTCAATATGCTTAACCACGAAATGTGGAGCTTTGTCTCTGATGGGTTAATGTATGTTGAATTTAATAAACCTCCTTGAATACAAACTGAAACAAATGTGCAGTATTTCCTCAAAGTTTTTACAAATCAGACTGTGCAAACACGAACATGTCAATCTTCTTTGTCTGCTTTGCAGAGTTTCATTAGTATAAATACTCAAAGCCTGAAATTGTCATGAGCAAATGAGCCTTATTATAGCATCTATGTACTGTTTGTGGAGGAAGTTGATCACTGCTAGTAAACTTTGTATAGTTTTGCAGACAAATGTGGAATATATCTTTATAATTTTCAAAAATGTGACTACTATTTCACAGGGTCTTTGTGACTGAATCATATGTATATTTTGGTAGTTGAAATTATTAATTCATCTGTTATTATAACACAGAAATTCTTTTTTTTTCATTAATATAAGAGTAACAAAGATCATGTCACAGCAGAATTATACATAGCAAAGAAGTGCACAATCAGAAAAATACATTATGTGCATTTATATGTTTCACAGGTGCATCTAGGGTATATCTTCTATTTATTTGTGCATATATTTTTGAACTATCTCTTTGTGGTAGTAATGGGACCAATTTGTTATTCAGTTGAGATGAATTTGCAATTGTCATTGTATTTATTTCTATTCTGATTAATAGCATTTCGAACTTGATGTTTAAGTTGAGTTCTGGTCATGTGCTTGCAATTTAAAAGAAACGATTGAGGAAGCTACATTATGTAGTAAATAACAATAATTGTGTGTTTTGAGGTTTTGAAATCATCAAAGTGATAACTAAATTAACCAAATCTTGCTGAAAATCACATTTAGTGAACCTCACTGTGTGAGTTAGCCATCCCTGGCTCCAAACAGACAATACAATACTTTTACAGTACTAAGGCAGAAGCCAATTTTTAGAAGCATTGCTGGTTGTTCAAATCTCAAAACATCTAAAAGTGGTGTGCAGACATTAAAATAAATGTTTTATGTAATTTTATTATCTTATTCGTTAGTTATTTTAGGGATGAAAGGTCTGAATAAAACTGGAAGTTGAAAGAAGAAATGATAAATGAGAGCTTCACATTTATGAACATTACATTACATTGCATTGTGTTCTTGACTGTACAGTGAGCCGATTATGTGCAGGCAGCATAAATCTGATAGTATGAATCATTTAATGCTACATTGCCTCTGTTTAAAGCTAGGAGGGCATTAAAATATACCCTTTTATTTACAGAGTTTTTGCAGACATAGTGCTAATAATAATAATAATAATAATCTTTTAATTTAGTATTTCCTCTCAATCTGTGTGGTAGAGCCAGAAAAACACAGTGAAAATTAAAAATGGACATTTTTCATTGTTTTACTTAACTTGTGAGGAGAAAGTGCAACTATTGTTTTATATATATGTATGAGAGATATAGATTTTCATTACTTTGTATATTTTTGTCGATTTGGGCTCTGAACTGTGCATTGTGTCCAATACATGGATGTATTAGGTTGGCTTTGTTGTTTATATACTGTCTAATGCAACATATGATGTGTATGAAATAATGTGCAGGAGAAATGATTTGGGATTTCTTTTTTTAAAGAAATGTAGATGAATTTCTATGTAAATTCAAATATTTCCTTTTTTGAAAAAGCCCTTTTACTACAAAAATGGAAAGAGGATCATCATTTATCATCTAGTTTTATTTAAATGACAGAAAATACAAAGGAATGTTTTATATATTTTGTTTTGCGTTAAGAGAATTTTATTTGTCATGACATAACATTTTTTTTAAAACTTTTGTTTTCCTATTTCATTAATGTATGTTTTATATTTCAAGTTAATGTAGACTTTAATCGAAATTCTTATGGGACATCGTCTGCTTATGCTAATTAGGTCTCTTGAGTAATATTACAAATCTCAGCAGTGTTCGGAGAGCTCGCCAAGTGCGAAAGTAGGGGGGTACTTTATTGTTTTGAAATTGATAATAATCATTACTTTGCATATATTTCCATGTGCGGAATTTTGATACACGTATTCATCTAATCTTCCCTTATGCAATGATACAAATTAAATAAATATTTTAAATCAATGAACCTCTACTTTAAAACCTTTGGCATTTAGTAGAGGGCAGACTTGCATTGTCTTGGATCCAAAAGTGATGAAACCTCGATTTAAAATTGAGCTTGATTTAGCTCTACAGATGCTCAATGAGGAAAGAGTGGTTTTTCTCACTCCTGACCTCCTTTATAAAATCTTGTGCAGATTTGTGTCCTACATGTATGTCGGTGTATAATGTTCTACATTCTCTTGACTTGTGTTAAAATGTTGATTTATGCTTTACCAGTCAGGTTGTGACACACAGATATAGATGGATTTTATATAATGGATAATATTATTAAATTTAGAGAATTGGTAACACTGCACAGGTGGCATTGTATATTTTTTTTTTCCTTCTTATTTTGAATAACATGTGAGGTTTCAGTCAGTTTCCTGTTAAATCTAAAATTATGTGTAATTCCATAACTGTTGTATTGTGTAGGCATATCTGTTTGAAAAATCTGTGTTGCAAGATTGAAGGATTGTATTTACATGTATTATGTTGATCACTAAATGATCAGAGTTTTTGTTATGCAATTTGTACTCTGAGAAAAGAACTGAGAAAGCAAGATAAACATAAGTCTTTCCTATTTGTAAGATTTTGATAGAATCTGTTATGTACAGCAGGAGAATCATTAATATTTGTAAATATTCAAAGGGCAGAGATTTTTTAAAGAACAAAATACAGACTAAATAATAGAATTGCAAAGATATTGTTGTCTTGAGTATTTTGTTTTGTGTAAGAACCACACCACTACCTAGTATACGATGTAAAGCCAGAAAAGATTTGTACATGATCATTTTCAAATTTTGTGAGTGGTTGATATTCATGCTGGTAATGACAATATCAAAGTTTGTCTATTTGCTTGGGTTATTTGTTATAAAAAAAACCAGCATCTCACAAGATTCACAAATGCATCAAGTTGCACACGGTCACTGGTTTTACAATCAGTCAGTCACTCAATAGTGTCTGACAGTGGGTGCGTTTATTGACCAAATTTTTGCCTAGAATCAGGTTTCTCAAACGTCTTTCAGGCAAATTTTGGAGGTGATAAATGCAAAGCCTTTTTTAAACGTCTTTAGATATGGGCATATCTAAAGACGCAAAAAGGTGTGTTTTGAATGTGACATACAGCCAGAATCATGATTACGAGACATGATAAATGCAAAGCTGTTTTGAACCCCACATACAAATTGGACCTTCCCCGGCTAATTTCCGGTTCAGCGAAATAGTGCGCACCATGTGCTATGCCCTAGTTGACCTCCGAGCAACTCTCTGCTACCCGGGTCAAACGGCGCAAAGCAGCTTCGCAGAGACAAGGCCTTTATTTTGAATCGTGAAGAGACGATAAACGCGACATCCCGAAAATCACATTCGTATAGTGGGGTTCGATATGTACATATCTAGTGGCAAGACCCGATAAACTCACCCAGTGAAGTCTAGGAAGTAAACAGGTTTCCTTGCATAATTTTAATATTAGGACACTGCTTACATTTAAATTTCAGATAGGACATACGTGACATATTCATAATTTCTGCAAAGCTCTACAGAATTCGATGTTGGCTGCAAATGGGACATAGTATCTTTAAAGTGAGACCCCTCTTATATCAAAGAGTTACAGCCAGATTACATACTTCAACCACACAAACAGAGATGCCAACCTCTTGACACAAAAAAACAGACTGAGTATCCTAAAAAATCAGATTTTCACGAAAACTCTACACTAACATTGGCCCATTGGCCCAGTAAAATTTCAGAAAAATGTTTGCTCTTTCATTAAAATGGTTGCGGGGGTTTACTTGTCCATGTTTCTATGCGATTCCGATGTTTTTATGGGTTTAAAAAAAAAAGATGAAAAATCGTATTTTAAGATCGTATTTCACTCTTATTATCGTACTAAATACAATTTAATCTCTGCACAAAACATTTGTCGGATGTTGAATATGTATCCCAACCTTCTCCCCTATCCCCTAATCAAAGAAATGACCAGGCATAGATACTTCATTTCATTTACAACAATTTTATTCGTACATGTAAACTTTAAAACATATTTCCATGCTCTTCTGTACACCATTTAAATGGCCTATTTAGAACTCAAAATTCTTAAATCAAGGGAAAGCATAAGCAAATAATCAATTTAGACGATTCAAAAGAAGAATCTAGAAAGGTATTTAAACAAAATCTCACTAAATTAGAAATCACGATACAGAACAAGTGACACACGCAAAATTATGGGACTTGACCTTAAGAAGGGATCATTTAACAATGTTAAATCTGAGATACACGGCTCTATGTGTTATTAGTGTCTGTGATATGGTGTAATATTGAAGCCCTAAATAAATTGCACTTCAAAATGATCAAGAAGTGCCTCAAAAAAGTAAAAATCTTTGAATGACCGGTTTTACCATACTCGTTTTCCCCAATAGACTGAAGTGTTTTCAAAATTTGTAATTCCAATCATAAATATCTTGATAATCAGACAGGCGATCGGCTTGTAAAAGTCACAGGGTTCCTGACTGACCTAAAAGTTTATAATTATCATTGCAGCATGAGCTAAATCCCAAATTTTGTTTCACAATCTGAGACAAAGTTACCGGATCCCTTTAAAGGGAGTGTGTCGTCGGCTTCCATGTGCACAAGACCATATTTAATGACACCAGACTTGGTGGAAATGCGATTAATGGTAATAAAAATATTGGGTTCTTGTATAGCACTCGTATCTGTCAGATATGACACTCAAGGCGCTCCCAAATAATTACCCTGGCTTTAGCACGACTGCCATTAAGCGCTCTAGCATTTCAAGGAATAAATTGATTAATGTGTGCACAAGACTGGACACAGCGAACATGTAGGCCTATTAAATTAAAGCACATACTTGTCATTACAGTTTGTCTAAATAACAGGAAAAATAGAAATATATTTGAAATTACTAAGGGAAAAACAATATATATGTTAAAACAAACAACAGGCCAAGGCAAAAGACAGAAAGACACACTCATTTGAAAAATATAATTTTTTTCCTCATCCTTTCAAAGGTATGATAGAATATGCATTAATACTTTCAAATTTGACAGTATTTAAAAATGTACTACGAACAGGACAGACGAAACAACACACTCCACTTTCATTGAAGTTTGTATACCGGTAATCATATTCCGTTGTAAGGCTTTCATCTTTTATCCTATATAATGGAATAGATAGGATTACAAAAAAAAAAAAAGATGAGTCTCTTCCGAATATAACAGAAAAGTACATTTGTCTGGCATTTGCACACAAACAGTTAATATTCATGTATTGTATTGTATTTACTAAACTTCATTGAGCTACATCAATATACTGTTTATTAACATATATATCATATTAATCAATTTGTTCATGACAGGCTCAAAGCAATATTATAACTAGGCACTCGCATATTTTGCAGATAGACAAACAGTATAAGAAAGTTAGTGTTCCAGATATAAGACCAAATTAAAGCACAAGTGCTGTTGGATAGGTCAGAGGACCTTGTTTCTTGCCTAAGGCTTGAAGCGTAGATCCAGTGGTATATCTACACAGGGAGAAGGGAGGGAGGGGGGGGGGGGTTGAATTCCCTTCAAATTGGCAGCCCATTTTCAAGAAAAAGTAGCTTCACAAGTCCACTGGAGCACATATCAATTTGGAGGGGGGGGGGGGGCACTAAGAAGTTAAAGGTAAGACTTTACGAGAAGCAGATAGAATCCACTTCCACTACCACGCCTTGAGCTTGCGGACTTTCTTCTTCTCTTGGGGTGTTCGGAGCGTCATGGAATGGGGCGCCACACGCACCGCCCTGCGAGGGTTACGCCTCAGAGAAGTATCCAGCAGGGCGTCGCCCTCTGGTTCCGTGGGGGCTGGAGAGAGCAGGACCACGCTGTCTGCCTCAGAAGGGGATTGGAGGTGGGAGACGGCCAATGAACGTCTGAAAAGATAGCAAATACAGAGGGAAGTAGATTAAGACAAGTGGATAAAACTCTGATTCCACATTGATTTTCTCTTTCCTTTTTATAACATTCAGGGATGCCAGTCAGTTTTACTCACTGGGCCTGAAAAGAAGCCATAACACGCCCCATATGTGCTGTACAATATAAAGCCTGAAAAAGCCTGAAATGGGAAGTTGTCTGGGCCGGAAAATCGGGCAAAAGCCTGAAGACTGACATCTCTGAACAGTATTGTGAGAATGAAAGAACATACAGAGCGATGACGAGTGGATGACTTTTAGTCTAAGCATCGCAAGAAAAAGAGAAATCTTGAGAGAAGGAATACAAAGCCGTAGAGAGGTGTAGAGATTAAGAAAGAGAGAAAAGGAGATATCATTTAATTGATCCCATTATAAAGCAGATCCAGGTAGTCAACACACATTTATTTTAAAACTGAAGGAAGAAATATAATACATCCCAATTGAGGTAAGTATTAGGAGAGGAAAACAATGATGAAGATGTAATTCTCGCGTTTCACAATCCTTGCGCCCTCATTCGCTTCAGTTGCGACAGTCACTCTAGCGCTGTAATTTGGGGAGATGGGTCGACAACTTTCTCGACAAATCAGGGTCTTGTTTTTCGAAACCAACGACAAGACAGTATCCGCCAACTACGGAGATGTCCCTGAACTTCTTAAACCGTTTCACGAAGAGCTTTCTAGCGAGACATCTTGTGAAATCGATACTATCGGCGAGATGAGGAGCCAAGACATAGCCTTTAATAGGCGCAATACCACCGGATTAAAACAAATTTTGTTGACCAGCGAGTGCCTCTCATGGAACGATCATTGGTGGCGCATGTCTTGTGAAACACGAGAATGGAGTTCTTACCTTGTGTATCTACTGGGGGTCACTGCAGGCTTCTCCTTAACTTGTGTCATGGATGCATTTCCTCCTCGCCCCTTCCTCCCGCTCCTGATCCCCCTACCCCCCATCAGTGACTCCCCAGGGAGGGGTGATGGGGAGGGAACAGTCAGGATGGTCTCTGAAGCCGTCTGGCTGAAGGAGGGAGGAACGGGCGGAGCCGTTTCTTTGGTGATGATCCTTACGGCTGAGCGACGCCCTCTGGATCTTGTGAGGGGCGGGGAGAAGATAAAGGAGGGTTGAGCGGGCGTGGTCGGCTCCTCTGTGGGATGAGAAACAAAATAATCGCAACACATGAATCAATACTGATGGGTAGACTATGATGGTGGGTCAGACTTGGGATATCTGCAATTCTCTTAAAAATTAAAAAAAGTTCTGAAGCACCCTTGCCAAGAAAGAAAGAAGAGAGTCAAATAAGTCTCATCATACTGTTGTCTTTAAACTGTCAATAGAGATCTCAACATCTGCATTATTAAAATGAAGTGTATGTAACCAAAAGTTTACAATTTTACTGTTTGTTTTATCTAACAAGCATTATGCATTCAATATCATGAGATTTCAAGAAAAGTGGAATCTTTGACTTTTAGTGAAGAGAATTTGTGATCTCTGCCACTCTTTCTTAAGGATTTTTTATTTATTTGTTAGATTTGTGTTAGTGGTGATCTTTTAGTGACATTAATACGTCACACTTAAACTGGGGGGCGTTTCATGAAACAATTAGGACTATTTTCCAGGCCTCTGATTGGTCAAATTTAGTCAGCACCTGCAGTTGTTGGCGGACAAATGTTGATAAAACGCTCCCCAGATTCATACTTATATGAAATTATCCATTCAGATATTTTTCAAATTACTTGGTAATAAAAGTTCACCTTTCTTGTGTTCCTGTTTGTCTTTGGTCCTTGGACTAGATCTTGATGTCATGGACCTAGTCACCGGAGACCTTGGGGATCTCCTTGGGGTCTCATTCCCTTCGGGCGGGGTCGGTATCATCAAACTGGGAGGTTTAGGGGGTGATATGATATCTGAGAGAGAGAGGGGGAGGGGGGAGAGAGAGGGAGAGAGAGAGAGAGAGAAAGAGAGAGAGAGAGAGAGAGAGAGAGAGAAAGAGAGAGAGAGAGAGAGAGAGAGAGAGAGAGGGAAACAATTCTTAATATTTTCTTTCTTGACCATGTAATGTAAAACTTTAATCTCAATTATAACAATGGAGGAATTACAATTTATTTGAATTTTAGTTATAGTATCCTGGAGACATACATAAGCAAATTGAATAGTGATGGTATGTCATGAAAACAAATCCACAGCAGCACTTATAGCATATTTGGCTTTACAAAAATCACTTTTTATCACTGTACTAGAACAAATCAGTGCCAAAAGTTAAAAAGAAATCATCATCAATGCCATTTTAAACCTGAGTGGTGTTACCTAAAGCTTTATTCCAACTTTTTAAGATGATTGACTTGGAATCTCTATCCATACCCGCTTGAACATCCATAGGCGAATCCAGCTTGCTTGCATCCCTTGGTTCCTCTGTCAATTCCTGCTCCTCCTCACGATGCGCCCCTTCTGTCTGCTTCAGAGTCTCACCGAAGGGAACCCTAGGGGGCGTCTTCTCCACCTCCCGTGTTCTGAGCGCCAGACCTGGAGTGGTCTGGACCGACATCTCAGCGACCTCCGCTTTCATGGTCTGCTGCTGTAGGTAGTCCGACGTCGCGCCAACCATGGGTGAGGTCTGGATGTGAACGCCCTCCCGGATGTGTTTGGGAACAAACGAAGAAATCTCAAAGACTTCCTCTTCTCCGAACCGCACCTGGATTTCGAGGAAAGTTAAAACAGAGGAGTCAGGATCAGTGCACACACTTGACATCATTGGTATAATCCATAGGTCATCACTCATGACCAACCCTATCATTCTCATGATCAATATCATCACCAATCTTCTTACCCTCATCATCCTCATCCAAAGTTATCATTACAATCACCATCATAAATATCATCATCATCATCATCCCCCCCCCCCCTCTCTCTCTCTCTCCCCCTCCTGCTCCTCCTCCTCCTCCTCCTCCTCCTCATCATCATCATTATCACCTTTGTCTGTCCCTCTGCGACAACAACAGCCTCATCCTCTTCTTCTTCCGTCTCTTCCGCCTCAAAGGTGAGCTGCCAGTCATCAGAAACAGGTGGATCCCTCTCCAGGAAGGCCTGCTCTACATCAAAGTCTCTCGACTCCCTCGGGGGCGATGGCAGAGGAACGGAGGAGGGGCTTGGGACATCCCTGTTGGGTAGCCTTGGGGTGAATTTCTCCTTGAATTGGAATGGGCTAAGGGGGTGGATAGGTTTCCGTGGTGATGGCTGGAAGTAGAAGCCTGGAGGCACAACTGTTGATGGTTCACGCTTCACGTCCAGTCCTGCAAAATCATACATGCAAAGTTGATTGATTCATCAAGATTGAAATGGAAGGAACAGAAAGTATGTTTGATTTTCACCGGCTTTTACCCCTTACATGTATCTTACGTTGATAAGAGACAATATTTTGTATTAAGCAACTAAAATTCAGTCTGAAAGTATTCCAAGATTATTGGGAAGCTGCAAGAAACATATATTTTGACAAACTGTCCGACATGGACTTGAAAGCGCTAGACCAACTGTTAGGAAATTTTATGCTGGTGTGAAATCACGAAATAGTGAGTCATACAGTAAGAAATCTCAACAGGCTTTGAGGTATGGTATGCAGAGACATTGACATTAAATTAAGGATACCAACTTTGCGAAGTCTGGTCGAGTGTTCAAAACTGTTCTTCGGAAACTCAAGAAAGAGGGGAAAGCCGGCGTAAAACATCATAATCCTGTCATTGCAACCGACATGAACAAGATTCAAGACAGTCTAGACCAGGACTCTCCATGTGGACTACAACGTAAAGTTTCCATCGACATTATGACCCTTTTTGCGAGCAGGGGAAAAGAAAATTTGCATGATATGAAGGCTGATGACTTTGTTCTGAGTGAACAAAATGGTCACTGTTATATCCGTATAGTCGCCAAAGCTAAAAAAAAAATCACCCGGACAATGGCTTGAATAGCCAAGGAGGACATATGTTCAAAATTCCTGGGAGTAGTAAGTCTAAACTAAAACTGCCTTATCTGTGGCAAAAACCCAGAAAAGCTGCACAATGCTCGAGTCGGAATTCACACTCTTGGAACTATGATGAAGACAATCATATGAATCAGCAATGAAGCAGGGTGCTCGACTAAATTAAATACATGAATCATTGCTTGAGAGCAATGTCGATCACCACACTTGATCATGCTGGATTTCCTTCGATGGACATAATGACTGTTTCAGGACATAGATCTGAAACCAGCATCAAACGTTATGCCCAAACAAGCGACCAACAAAAAAGGAAGATGAGTGACACAAGATGTTCAGCTCTTGGTCTACAAGTTCAAGAAGGACCGGCTGATCACAGACAGCCAGACCAGCAAAGTAGGCCTGAGACTAGTCCTACTCAAACCCCAACACATGATGATGATATTGATGATTTCTTGGATATTTCCAACAGTCAAATGGATCATTTGCTAGCTGAAACAGAATAACTCTACAATTGTTTCTCATCCTGTTGAAAACAGAAATGTGCAAGTGCAAAATCAGTTCCAGTTCAACGACTGCATTATAAACATTTATAACTACGCTAGTCTAAGTTAGAACCTAGACTAATTTTGACCTTGTGTTCATGTTAAATATCTGACTTAAGTTATTTGCACGTTTAGAACATTGACTTTTCAACTGTTTAGTGTTACATCTACAATTTTCTTGTAGTTCACAAAGTTTTAAATTTAATTTTCTGACTTGGAGTTGGAGTCCACTTTCATTTTAGACCTGCCAAGTGCAAGCCTATGGAATTTTCGTGGAGTTTATTGGAATAGTATTGTTGGTACATGGTAAGCAGATCAAACCTACCCCCCTCCTTATCATGCCATCGTACAGAAAATAGAATCTAACAGTTAGAATCTAGACCTAGATCTAGACTAGTACTAGATCTAGAAGTCTAGTAACTGTTAGAACTAGGCCTTTCTCCAGCTGCAACACAGGTACAGCAGGAGAGAGGAGAGCCGGTTCCTAGGTGATCTGAATGTTTACCCAGACAGAGCAGCCAACCATTACGTTTTTCCCCGAATTATACTGTTTTTTTCCCCGAATTAAGGTAGTATGTTTTTTGTCATAAAATATGTTTTTTATTTCTCATTTTTAATTTTTTTTTTACACATACCGCACGTCAACAAAACGCCCTAAAATGTTGATCACTACTTCAATAGAAAACTTCAATAGAGATTTATGATTTAATAGTCAACAGAAAAAAAAAGTGAAAGGCGTAAATATATTCAAAAGAATGAAAAGCCAATAATGCCAAAAAACTACCAACTTGTAAATAAACTATAGGTCCTAATATGGATATTAACAGCGAGAGGAATGGACATTTCTGCATTGGAAGTGTTTCGCGTGTGGTTGTAAGTTTCGTTTTAATGAATTTCCTTTTTTGCCATTATGGTTTCTTTTTTTGGTTGCACAATGTTCACTTCGGAAAGATAACTACATCCAGATCGCCTCGGAAGTGATAGTTTGTCCCATCACCTTCACCAATCGTAATTATTTGCTTACTGTACATGTGGCTGTGAATAGTGTCCCAGAGAGATTACACTATACAGATGCCAGCTGATCTGACATTTGCTCTTGCAACATGTGCTCCAGCCTTTAATTTATTCAGGATACATGTATAGGGTCAGGGCTAAGGGTGCAATAGAGATTGAGGTTGTATTTGAGTTAGGTGTAGGGTTACGTATAGTTTTCAGTCCAAAATTAAGCTTGAAAAATTGCACTGAAGAAGAAATTGACCGCAGAGCAATCTTTGCCGGAGTATGTGACATCCAACCAGATGCTATTCATTATCATTACCTTCAGTCTCCATCTGCTCATCCTCATCCTCATCATCCATCGCCATGGGAACCGGCTCTTCTCTCTCCCGCTGTACCCGTGCTGCAGCAGCTGGAGAGAGAGACTGCCTTAGACTGAAGTTGAAGGTGATTTCTTCATCCTCCTCCCCGTCCTCCTCCGCGCCCACCAGGTTGCTATGACCTAGGACGCCCTCTAGGTTCAGCATCATCCCTTCTGGAATGGGCGGAGTCTGGGAGTCGTCATCCTGGAACAAGGCTTGCAGGACTTGCTCATTTTCTGAGTAGGCACAGGGGGATTTAAAGAATTTTGAATAAGTGTCTGTATACAAATTCTGAGCAATATTTTCTTTCCTACTTCATATACATGTAGGTGTACATGAAAACATTCCAATCATTTGGTACAAACTTCTTTGCAGCCTTGAATATTCGTTGTACATGTAAGTTTGGTTCTTTCAGGAAACATTATCCAGTGCTACCATATTTCATCTTTACCTTAAAAATATAAGAAGAAAAATAAAAAAATATTGATACACATAAATAATATGAAACGTAATAATGTTCAAAAAGTCAGTGGATCAGACATAAATTGGTAAATTGGTCCTGCTTCTTTCAGGTCATGATTAAACTTAACGATTCGAATACCTTTTTGATGGATATTGAAGATCTTAATCTTTAAGCCGTTCTGTACTAGTTTGGCTAGGGGGATTAGTTCCCTGCAAGGTCACTTGACAGGTGGTTATCTCATTAAATCAGCTCTCAATTAACATAAGAAAAAGAAGATCATGGGTGACCAACATGCACCGATTAGGCATTGTTTGCTATATGGAGGGTGCAAGTAGCTATAAGTAGTGCAGTAGGGCTTTAATCTATGTTGAACCTACCTTGTGATGGTTGGGGCTGAGGAGAGGGAAGCCTCACGCTAGGTGGCTTCTCCTTAGGCGTGATGATACGACTGCTTTTGGGCGTCGGCGGCTTCATCTTCGGGGTCAACACCAGATGACCCGGCTCCTCCTCTTGTTCCATCTGGGCGGGGCTGATGGATGAGTCATGGGCCTGTTCAGGGGGTATGCCTTCCATAGGGGATTGGAAGGGTGGGGTCTCAGATGCCTCTTTGGTAGGGGAGGTCTGGGGGCTCAGGGGTGGGGTCGCCCATGTTTGGGGCGAGGGTGTGTCACGCTGGGGGATGAATGATGGAGGCTCTGGCATCAATCTGGATTGGGTTGGAAATACCAAAAAAAGGAAAGTGAATGCCAATAAATAAAAAATAAAAGATACCCCCATATACGAAATAAATATATACATCACAGGTTTTGAAGATCAGAAGATTAAAACACCTGCAAAACTTGTACTCAGTACTCTAAAACTTGTATTGCAAATAGCTGTTACTTGTACCTTTCGATTAATATTCTTTATAATCCAAGAAATAATATGATTTAAGATTAACAAAATGCAAATTAGTATGGAAAACAGTCATTCTGAACTTTGGAAACCAAAATTAAATGCTGGCATTGTGTTAAAGCCATACTGTACTAGAAGCACTACAGCAAAATCCCCTCTAGCACTGTCTCTGTTCAGTTGTAGCTGTATGGTCCCGTAACTCACATTGAGTCCTCTGTCTGCAAAGCAGAAATTAGGTATTGGGTTATGGACTGTTGGCAAGTTGAGCATGAGATGGCACTGTGCAATAAACAGTATCAGAGCCATCTATACACAGCGTTTGGCCAACCCGGTTCGAGTTGGACACAAAATGGCGACTAATGCTTTGTTGGGCAAGCACAAACAAAACAATATACTCCATGTTGTGACCCAGTGAAACCAAGTTGGCCAAAATCTGTGTATAGATGGCTTTGACCAGTATGCTAGGGTAGAAAGTTCAGTATCGCTTTAAGATATCATCTAGTATTTTCCTGCTTACTCATTGATATCTGGTGAAGGCGATTCCTGTGAGATGGTGTCGTCTGAAAAGCGGATGTGCCTGGCAGGTGTGGCTTCTTTGGTCTTATCAGGCTCCTCCTCGGCTAAAAGAAGAAGGAACCGTTTAGGAAATGTTTACAAAATATTTCCTTTTAAAGGAGTAAATATTCATCTATTCATATAATTTGGGCACTATTGGTTATAACAAAGTTTAAAAAGCACATGTAGCTCGAAACAACAAAGCTAAATTGACTAGATATTTGAATGTTTCACACATTTATGATGATGTACTACTTATATTTCATTGGAACTATGGAGGTTTGCAGAAAATAGTGAGACAGAATGAAACACATATAGATGGAGAAAGAAAGAGAGAGAGAGAGAGTCATTTGTGAATGAGAAGGGAAAGAGCTGATGACGATCAAGGAGAATATAATGTTAAGTGTTTGCTGGAAGAGTGAGGAGAAGAACTATATAGAAGAAATGTGGTTGGCAAAGATTTAAGTTTGAACAAATATCCGGTATTGTCTTCTTTCAATAACTGGAAGCTGATGAAGTTTTCTTAACAATGGGTAGCATGGGACCATTTCCCTTTTTGACAGATTAGCCAAGCACACTTATTCTGGAGACGTTAGAGTCTGTCTAACAAACGTACACTTAACAACTAAATTATTCATACCCTTTCCAAGTTTTTAAAGTGCAAGTTTTGTAATTTTTTAAGTGAAATTTGTTTTCTTCCTAATTTATGTTTCTTGAGAGCGTGACAAATTAAAGCTTACATCTAGAAGATATTCAACAAAGGTCCTACTTCAACCAGTCCACCTTCATTCTTGATTTACAAAACTCATAAAAAACATCAAATTTACAAGGGGTATGACTAATTCAGTAGTTAACTGTATCTGCACACACGATAGATGGCCACTTACCAAATGAAAGTACTTTGCGGTGGAATTGAGGTGGCGTTGGCAGAGTAATATCTGCAGCTAAGGGTGATGATTGCATGAGCAAGAAATGAAAAGCAAGTAATGATGAGAAAATAGATACCACAATGCACCATGATGTTCTTACTCAAATTTTGCTTCATAGAAAACAACTGTGACCATTTGGACCCGTGACTCCGGCATGGAGATACCCAACTATAACACACCAAAAATCATCTAAATCTTCTGTGTGTGTGAAGTTGGCCACTGTTATCTCAGATCCTCATTAATTTCATGAAAGTAATTCACATTATGATTTGATGATGATCATAACGGTCACTAAATTCATGTGCGCACGCTCGGACCCCGGCTTACTGTCGGTATGCACATGTATTGTGCAGCGGTTTGCTGTGAAACCTGTGAGAAAGTGTATACTAATGTCTTCATTTTTAGGAAAAATACTCCAAAAAAGTTAAGAATATTGACACAAAACAGGTAAGAAAGATAACGACTTTTAAATCATGACTGTTATTTGAACAATTGTGGAAATTTAGATGATTTTTGGTGCGTTATAGTCAGGTATCCCCATGCCGGAGTCACGGGTCCAAATGGTCACAGTTGTGAACAAGTGCCAAACAATGTAGGCTTCACATTGACCAAAGAAAGTAGAATTTGTCTGCACTACTGCAAAAATCTAAACATAAAAATATCTTTGCACATTGCGTAAGACATGACAGACAGTGGAGAGACACAATAAGAGCACAATAAATATCTTTACCTGTCTTTTTGTGGGAGTTACAGCAAAGTGAATGAATATGATAGCGAAAAATGATTATACAATATTTATGGAATTCATTTTACATGTAATATGAAATACTTTGGTGTGGTGATCACACCAGCCAAAACACTGAATATGCCCCGCTCCAGCTCACTGCTTGAATGATTTTGTCGTGGACCTCATGCACAGGCTTTATTCTGGGCACCGTCTTACAAAGAGTTGATCCAAAACTATCGCAATTCCTCTAATTAATCGCAAGTTTGTAATCTCCTATCTCTTATGTACGTAGTTGCGATTAATATCGACTCTTTGTAAGACGGGGCCCAGGACAACAAGCAAATGTGATGCTAGCACTTCGCTACTATACACATTTGTCTGACATGAGACCCATACATTATGGAGCACTGTAAGTTTTCAAAACTATGAAGCCTGCATAATGTGAAAAAGCGTTTAACAGAGAGCTGACAGAGATAAAAAAAATGGCATCTTGAACCGAATTCTTATTATTCACCTGTGAACCCTCTTGCCCTCTCTGTGACGACCTTCGGAGGACTAGGTGAACGTCTGATGATCTTTCTGACCTTGAGGATAGATTGGGGTGTGGGTGGGGCTACCTGAGGCTCCTGCTGGATTATTGGCATTCTCTGATTGGTATACAGAAAAGATCATAATGAAAAGAAGAAAATATTGTCAACAGACAAAAGTGAATCTTGTATAAATTAAATCATATTTGGAATAGATGCACAAGTGGCAAATATCAATATAAAATCTACCTCCATTATAATCATCATCATCATCATCATCATTACCATCACCGTCACCACCACCACCACCATCATCATCATTACCACCACTATCATCATCACTACCACCACCACCACCACCACCACCACCACCACCACCATCCCCACCACCACCACCACCACCACCACCACCATCATCATCATCGTCATCGTCACCATAATCACCATCTGTAGCCAAATATTGGGTATATATTTACATGAAGGACTTTACATATTTCAATGTTTTCTCATCCCCTCTTTCGTCTCCCCTGTCTCTCCCGCGCTCTTACTTTCTCTTTGTCATTCTCTCTCTCTCTCTCTCTCTCTCTGCCTTTTCCCCTCTTTAAATGAAAACAGGTTCTTACCCTCTTTACTGGTGGTGTCTGTAGGAGCGACAAGGCCGCTGCTCCAGAGTAATCCAAAGGAGGCCTGCATCATAAAGACAAAAATTAAATTTCAAAGAAATTGCAACATGACAAACCATGAAATGTTTGTATATATGTATATTTAACAACAAAATTATTCACAACCTTTGTCAATTTTATGGTTTTTTGTGTGAATTTGGTAGCTCAAGAATTAAATGTAGACTGGTTAAATTAGGGCCTTTGTTTAATACTTATCTAAGTTTTGATTTGTCAACCTCAAGAAACATAAATTGGGACAAATCAATTGCATTGGTGTTAAGAACACCACCAGCTTTGACCTTTGACCTCACCTTTTGAATGACTCCTTGAGTACCTTGGGTGTCTCCATGCCTCCGAGTCCTCTCAGCGACTGGTTCATACTGAAGTTTAGACTGGTTGAGAATGGATGATAGGGGGCGGTGTCCTCGGCTTCAAGCGTTTCGGGATAGACTACGCTCACGTCAGCACTGGATGATTGGTAAGATGGTCAATATCATAAATATTAGAGAAAGTTTGAGCAAAATCTGATTAGAAATAGGAAAAAAATGGCAACACTGTGACATATCTTGAGAGCTCCTCTAAAATTTGCTCTGTACATAAAATTGTGTAAACTTTCTTTATCCTAGTTATTGATGACGTAATAGATTTGTTTCATACAGGGGTTGTATGAAAAAATATATGCAATAATCATATTTGAGATGACTGTATGATTTAATTTTTTTACAGGGAAAATATTGATTTTTGAAGTCTCACAACTATCTTAATATTTTTAATAGGTTTTTGCTCAAACTTTCACTGACCCGATTCTCTCATTTTCCTGCTTCTATTAAAACCAAATTAATATCAGGGTTATGTATAGAGTTGGGTCTAGGGTTGACAACAGGAATCTGACAAGCGTAATAAAACCCTATAAAGCAATTGATCCATGAGTATGTGTCATAAATAAAATCAGTCAAACTACAAAGAAGTTTAAAATTGTCAGCTTAGCAAACAAACCAGTACATCTTGAAAATTAGGTGGTTCCTCTTAATTCCTAGAAAATAAATTTGGGCAATGCTGTAAATAACCTGATGATCAGTTGGGTAACATAATGTTTCTGATAGCACTTTCTACATGTGTATGTATCTGTTTTATGCTTCCTATTTTATTTTAATTATCAATTAATTAGAAAGGCATTGTGAGGAAGAGTTCACTCTACTGTTTTGCCAATTATAAGAAGACTCATCTAATCTAATCCCAAATAATATGATCTATAAAAGGCAAGTTATATTTTATCTACAGATGTTTTTCTCCACCATGAGTAGTAAAAGGGAACCTAAGAGGCAGAAATTCATTTGATATTTTGGGCGCCACATAAAGCAGCTTTGCTAATACCATGGTGTTAATTAGTATTTCCTTTGCGAACAAGGTATCAACCTTGTATCATGATCATCAGTATGAGTACTTGCATAAAACATTAAGAGCAAGAAGAGCTATATTCAGTCATATACTTTTGCTCATCTGAAGGAGGGTGAGGGGGGTATTGATTGGCATTCTACTGACCTTCTTGCTGTTCTGTTCCGTGGGGTCATCGGTGTGCCAACAAACGGTTCAATACATGGTGAGCTCTCATAAGAATCATCCCTGAAAATGCAAATTAAGCATATTCATTACTTAAAGAATAGTCTGATCACTGATAAAGTAGGAACACATTTCGTTTTTATTTAAACATTTTTACAATTCAAGCATGTTTAATAAATAGTATACAATTGATGCATTCGCATGAGTTCACTATACACTATATCTGCACTCGAGTTGAGGCTGTGTGTGCGATAGATACACACAGCATCAACGAGGGTGAATAGATCGTATAATGAACAAATGAAAATATGCATCATTTGTTTTCTATCAAACAAAACTCCTAGATCCTTCTTATTTCATGTAAAAAGAATTCATTCAAGATTGTTTTGTGACAGTATGGCTAGGCTGACAAATAAATCTCAAGTTTAATAAGACTTAATTTAGTGCGCACACATAGATATAGTAAGCGGACTTACCTCTATACCCCTTTTTGCATAGTGCTGCGCAAGAATAGGCCCATGCACACGCAGTATTAAGCGCTCTAACCTCTACGCGCACTACTGTGCACTGAAAAAGTGTGCGATAGGACTGGAAAAAAGTGCACTCCTTTTCATGAAAACGAGTGCAATAGGCTCAGTAAATGAATCCCACGTGACTGCGCATGACCTATCATTTGATTAGGATCTGGGAGTGAGTTGTATAATGGGGAATGAGAGTTGACCTAGGTCAATGACCTGTGTGACCTTCACATGACTTAACCTTAACCTTAAATGAAATGTGTAAATTATTGACTATCCTTTATAGCTATCCATGACAGCATTAGGGCAAGGCACAAGAAATTGACCAAGGCCAATGACCTGTGTGACCTTTATATGACCTTTCCAACCTTCACTGTATCTTACTTACTGTAGATTGGTAGGTGTTAGATCAGCCTTCATGACATCCCTAGCCTCTGCAATGCGTTCCATGACAGCATTGAGAAGCAAAACACGATAAATTGACTAAGGCCGATGACCTTTGTGACCTTAACACAACCTTAGTTTGACCTTTCATGTATGTTACTTACTGTAGATTGGTAGGTGTTAGATCAGCCTTCATGACATCCCTAGCCTCTGCAATGCGTTCCATGACAGCATTGAGAAGCAAAACACGATAAATTGACTAAGGCCGATGACCTTTGTGACCTTAACACAACCTTAGTTTGACCTTTCATGTATGTTACTTACTGTAGATTGGTAGGTGTTAGATCAGCCTTCATGACATCCCTAGCCTCTGCAATGTGTTCCTTGATAGCATTGAAAAGCAAAACTCGATAAATTGACTAAGGCCGATGACCTTTGTGACCTTAACATGACCTTAATTTGACCTTTCATGTATGTTACTTACTGTAGATTGGTAGGTGTTAGATCAGCCTTCATGACATCCCTAGCCTCCGCAATTCTGTCGAGCACAGCGTTGAGAAGCAAGGCATGAGTAATGACTTTGGATGACTTTGCAGGATTGATAATGGCGGACAGCGGCTTCGGGCGCGGAACTAAAAGGAAGACACATCAAAGATAAAGAATGGTATTATCTCTGAGCCAAGAAAGATATATGCATAAATTTGGCTACAGTACGAAAAAGGCCTATTGTTGCAGGGGCAAGAGTCATAGAACAGATTGATTTTACCTTCTCTTCGTATTCCAACAGGTTTCTTCTGTCTTGAGTCGGTGTCGAAGGCCAGTCGTCTCTGAACCCTCGGAAGCACATTGACATAGCTCTCTGTGATGATGTTTCTAGCTGAAGTCCTTTCTCTAGCCAAGGGATCGTTATCGCCCTGTCGGTATAAAACAATGGAAAAGTGTCAAAATTATGTCTTCTCCTTGAAAACACACATGAATTCCAATGGATGGGAACACTTTGGACCAATCTGAAATCATGGATTATATTTACTTGTTTTGCAACATTCAAATTGTCTTTAGTTCAACCAAATACAGCAGTTCAGTCAATCTGGAATTTCATTTACCCAGAGGGTTTATAACAGACACCAGACTTACCTTTCTAGGGCTGAGTATCCAACAGAATAATATAAAACCAAATTTGACATATTGCTTGTGATAATTTTTTCCCCCTACCTACTACTAAATTTCTCCTTAACATACAATGAAAGATGTACAAATAATAATAATAAAGACATTTATAACGCGCAAGATATCCACCCAGGGGGTGCTCAAGCTATAAAGTATACTTAAATACAAAAACCATTTATTATCATAATCATCTTCTTCAGATTGCTCTTACCATCATAGCTTGTTGTTTGAGGTTCTCATTGAGGCGGACTGCATCCACAAACCTGGTCCTCTGGAGGTAGTGCATCACTAGCAGCTCCTTGGAGTTGGGTTCCGTTGTCTCCAGGAGATAACGCTCAAGAACAGACTCCTCAATGTCATCAAAGGGGAGTCTGAGCAGCTGGTCCATTGTCTTAGCTGATGAAATGAAAGAATTAAGAAATACAGAGATAGCAAAGTTTGAATATCTTCAATTATTCTCATAAAATATGCTGTATTCACTCTAGTGGTAACAACGGTTGTTCCATTAATCAACTGTTTCAACTAACTGTCACTGGTATTAATCTATTTTTGAATCAGACTATTCACTCTTCTCTCCCTCTCTCTCTGTATATATCTATCTATATATCTACCTATAACACTTATTTATCTATCTATCTATCTATATATCTATCTATCTATTTAAATATCTATCTCGTTATCTATCTATTTATCTATCTATCAATCTATTTATCTTTCTGTCTATCTTTCAATACAAATAAGTTTCTCCATAGCTATATCTTGTATTATACACCATAATCACCCTGTAGAAACCAAGATGATTCCATCTACTGTATTCACAGTTTCACCCAGCTTCCATCGGCATCCATCTATTCATATCTCTCCATCTACTGTTCTTGCACTTAATCTCTCCATCTATCAATCCATATATCCCTCAACTAATTAAGACTGAACTCACTCTGTTGAGAGCCTAGGAAGATGTGATACAGAAGTTCATCCATGGTTGATGGGTCACGGTACTCACGTTGAAACTGAAACGCTTCGGCAGTCAACCTATAAAAGATATTAAATAGAATTACATGCAACATATAATGAAATAACTACATTACCAAAGATACTTAATACTTGTAGCATCAATTTCTTTCAATAAATGTCCAGGGAAATCTTGGAGATCAAGACTAAAAAGGGATAAAAGTGCTAGCAGAAGACAAATATGAAACATCATAAAATGAAAACCAATAGATAAAAGGTGGAACATGATCACAAATAGCGCCCGAGTCAGAAATTAGAGTAAAAGCTCTACTATCTAGTTCATTTTTTGATGTTCAATGAAGTCAACCATGTGATGGTTGACATTTACATGTACAAGCTTTATGCCAAGAATAGATCTTTTAGTGTTCAATTTTTATATCAGGTTGGTCCACTTGTCACAAAAGTGCCTGCAAATAATCCATGGAGGATCAGTTTAAACCAAAAAAACTCAGATCTGCCATTGTTCGACAAAATCAAGAAAGGGCAATTTTCTTACCCATTTGCTAAGAGCACAGTAAGGTGAAGTTTGACATCTTCTGGGGTTTCAAGAGCAGGTCGGACACAGCGCACATACTGCAGCGCCATCTTGGCCTGGCCGTGGTACAGGAACGTCTTGATGATCCGTGTGTGTTGCCATGACAACAGGTCGTTGTTTGTGTTGGGGTCGAGCAGCATCGTTAGAGCCTCCTGTTAATTCAGTAGAAGTGGAATGATGTAATTAATTTGGAAGCAGAAGTATCTCACTGATTTAAAGCAATACCAAATGTATCATAATCCTCTTCTTTTTCTTGAGTCACAACATGACTTTATTCATGACAGGACCCAGGCTTCAGGTGCAAGGTTGAATGCTCCCAGGGCCCCATTTCACAAAACTTGTCATCAGTGACAAATGACAGTTTTTGTTATAAACTAGTGAAACTCTTACTTCTGATTGGTTATCAGCAGATTTGTCACTGATTTTTGTCATTTGTCATTGAAAAAAGGCTTTGTGAAACAGGGCCCAGATCTTCATTATTTATAAGGTTCTGGTAGGTGGGGACAGACAATCAAGAGTTCCATTTCTGCCCCCCCCCCCTTCCGATAATTGCAAACATTTAGTCAATCCTTGTTATTACCCCATGAAATGAAGCAGATGCACTTAAAGTATAGAGTTAGTTTGAATTAAACCCTCTCTGGTTAACCACTATTCCAGTACCTGTCATAGACGAACTTTCAAGAATGAAAGTTTGACTTAAATGCTATGCTAGATAATTGGACATAAAATATCTTCCATGATTACAAACATCACAATACAGATAACAGTTTCTGTTTCTAAAAGAGAAATCCAGACCTCATGTCAAGCACAATCAAGGATTTGCTGAACATCTCATGAAAAAGGTTAAGAAAAGAATCATCCAGTATTAATATAAGTGACATGCTAGACAAACAGTAATTGGTATAATGATGTAATCTATTTATCGATTTGTAAAACTGACTGTAAAAAAGAAAGTTTTACCTCATAGTCTCTGTGATCCAGGAGCCAGAAAGCTTGGAGAAGCTTGGTTAAACCCAGAGGGAGGCTGAACACTTGATGAAACTTCTCTATTTTCTCAACCATCTGGTAAAAGACAATAGAAGAAAGACGAGCATAAAATTAAAAAATGAATCTATACATTGAATTAGTATAAAGCCATATATGTGCCCATAGTTGTAGAGAATATTGAAAACTGTCAACATGCACAAATAAATGATAAAACTAATAAATGACTTAAGTACTAGATGAGTGTTAGAGACACAAAGTCACTTTGCTGAAAAAGCAACAATTTAACAAAAAATCATGAAGTATGTGTAAGAGATAGCCATTACCTAGACATCTACATGTAGTTGAAAGTCAGTATAACAGGATTTTAAAACCAAAAGTTATTATCACTGTAAACACATTCATCTCTAGTATTAATACAAAAAACAGTAGCAAAAAACAGGACTCTGGAATGAATAAAAGAAGATCTTTGAGATCAAACAAGAACAGAACTGACCTCTGAGTGCTTGGCATCTTGGCCAACTGATATGATGTCTAGGAGGAGGTATCCCACAATGCAATGCTTGGTTGCCAAGGGAACATTCTCCAGAAGGAACATATCGAGAAGAGCCTAAAAAGGTTGAGAAATAAGGTACTGTCAAACCACATGAAATGCAAACATTCAGTGTTCAGTATCAATCATTTTGCTGCATGAAACTTAGGTTACTGAACAATCACAAATTACAAACTTTCACAAATCGCAAAAATTCAGTGCTTAGATTGAATGACTTCACTATATCAAATGTTCATGAGCCGGACCACTAGCAAAATTCGCTCAAGTTATGTGCACATGATGTTTTTGGTGTTACAGTACTATCAGCTATGCCTGTTATCTTTGATAATATTCTTGTCCGGAGCATATCATAATGAAAATCAATATTACTGATGAGGAAAAGAAAAAATAAGGAGACACAACAAACGTTTTAAAGAGAGCTTTAAGAAAATGCTTGTTCATTGTTTTAATGTAGGTGCTTTGATCAACTTTGAAAGTTTATTTGATAGTTCCAGTCCCCCATACTGGATCAAAGTCATTATTATACCAAAATAATCAATAAATTTGAGGTAGTTTTCCAACACTTCTTCAGGTCATGCATTCATTGTTGCAGATCTGTACTAGATGGTAGTGTTTCTTATACTCACATGTAGGCTTGGCGGGGGGTAGGTCCCTGTACCCCCTTGTTCCTTCCGATCCCAGAGAGAGGTGAGTGCTGGCCCCGCCTCTGATACCAGACCATCAATCAGCATGATGTCACTGTTTCCACTTTGCCTATTGGTCAAAAGAAGACAACACAATTTGTTTATAGCAAGGTATAAATAAAAGAGTTAATCTCAGAATTCTTTCAATACTCTCCAGAAGGACCTGCTTTAGAAGTCAATAGCAAGGTCCCACTTATAAATAGGGAATGTGAGTTGGTCTAGCAGTAATGTTTGTGGTACCGTCAGCTCTCTGTTCTCACCTACAAACTGACTCAGCACACCCCAGTTCAAGACCGAGTCACATCTTTCGCATGGTGGCATTAAAGGTTGGTCCCCAGACATAAATAATCACATTTGATTGATACACGTCTGTAATAACCCAAATTACACACACACACACACAATTACTGGAAGGAGATCAACTTCTTCAGGCGGTCTGATTCTGATGGGGTCTTCCAGAAAGGGAATCTGATCACACAAAGAAGCCAGTAGGAACTGGCAAAAGTAGCTGAACAGGAAGTACTGTACATCTACTTTCCTGAATTGATTTCTAACTCGCTATTAAATTTTACTCATCATGACTCTAAAAAAAAACAGATGAACACTTCTGCATCTTCGAAGATTTTCTTTTTTCTCTTGACCAATCACTGTAAAATCCAGCAAATTTGAAATTTTAAAGGAAATACCATTCTTTTTTCTTTATATATGTAGATATATATTTCCTTCTCTAAGGAAGTGGAATTAGATACCCCCAAAGACTAAGGAGATAGATACGGTCCCTTCAATGCCTGATGCATATATATATTTCATAAATTCAGAAGACTGAAGCAATTACAAATTGTATGAGAAAATGTTTTTTAAACATAGAATTCTTCAAAAAATGATATTAGTATTGAAGTCAATCTAGTCTTTTATGTTAAAAAGATGAAGTAAAATTGTACCTGCACATTCTAGAAAGCTCTGCTCTTCGCTGGGCATAGGTCTGGCGTAGGAGAGAGGATGGATAGCAGAACTGGCCATGAAGGGGTGATCCCAGATCATCTGAAATGGAACATAAAAAATACTCATTAATTAATAAGTGGTCACCGTCAAGGATTTAGTGACATTGGCTATTTCAGGGGCATGAAAGGTTTGCAAATCTCAGCGATTAAATATGCATGTATCTTAATTTATGGGTATCATCATAATCTACATCATTAAAATCATCATCTACATCATCATTATCTACACCACTACTTCAAAAACATCATCATCTTCATCATCATTATCTACACCACTACTTTAAAAACATCATCATCTTCATCATCATTATCTACATCACTACTTCAAAAACATCATCATCTTCATCATCATTATCTACACCACTACTTCAAAAACATCATCATCTTCATCATCATTATCTACATCATACCTGCCAACATTTGAAAATGAGAATTAAGAATTTTTAGCGCGGTATGTCTTCGAAAATAAGAAATCTGTACACTTAACAGGCGTTCGCACATGCAGCGGCAGTGTAACTGGCAATACGCGGTAAATCTGTGCAAAAAAAAGCGAATTTAATCATGCAGCCCTTCAACGCACGCAATACACGTGAACTCTAACATCGCGTAAAGGATAAAACAAGCTTAATTTGGCTTAAGCAACACCAAAAACAAAAAAAACAAAAAAAAAAAAAAAAAAAAAAAAAAAAAAAAAAAAAAAATCGAAATTTTGAAAAAAAAACAGAATATTCCGGATTTTGGGGTCCTAAAAATCCAGAAAATGGAATATTCCGGATTATTCGGAAGGGTTGGCAGGTACGCTGAATTCAATTCGGTGTAGCGATTGTCCAACACAGCTCAGTTACGGCAACATTTGACATGCATCGATCAAACTATACACAGTACATGTACGGTACGCCTCGCCATCGCTGCCCCACTCCACTGGCACCGACTCACCTCCGGTACCGCACTGCAGCGTGCGTTCACTCTGTATACCATAGTCCCGACACACTTCTTCCAAATACTGGATTAGACAATTGAAAAGTTAGTACGGTACGGTAAACTCCATGAATCCATCAAGCAAGCGTATTCCTTGGGATTGGAAGACATTATAAGTAAAACTGACAAACTTTTGCAAGTTTAGTAACCATTCACGATCACACGTCGAAGCTAACCCGTTCGCTCAAAATTTATCGCACGTGAAGCGTGCATGTTCTTGTACATTGCTTGTATGGGTGTGTGTGTGTGTGTGTGTGTACGTGTATGGAGAGTACATGCCAGGCTTACACACACACACATAATGCTGATCTCTACGCTATAGATCAGTGGCACAAACACGCTGCAAAACCGTCATTACAAGCCAAATGAGCTTCCGCGGCCATCAACACACACACAGTATACTATACGAGAGCTCTCACACAAATCGCGGCAAATGGTAATACAAGCCCAATTTGGCTTAAATTTCCAAAATGCGGAATCTCCCGCATTTTAAGGTCCTAAAATTCCAGAAATGCGGAATATCCCGGAAAATGCGGGAGGGTTGGCAGGTATGCTACATCACTACTTCAAAAACATCATCATCTTCATCATCATTATCTACATCACTACTTCAAAAACATCATCATCTTCATCATCATTATCTACATCACTACTTCAAAAACATCATCATCTTCATCATCATTATCTACATCACTACTTCAAAAACATCATCATCTTCATCATCATCATCATCTTCATCACCATCATCATCATCGTCTACATAATTCTTTTGTTTGTAACATACCTGCGCATTCTGGTAGCAGGCCACTATGGGTGAACCATAACACCATCTGAAGATGCTGAGACAGCAAAGTGACCACACCCAACTTGGTCTCCAAATCTTTAACACCTATAAGAAATAAACAGCGAAGAAGATAGTATAGACAAGCATCAGAGAAATTGTAATTTGTGAAAGTGATTTATTAAGTCTTTACGGGGCTGGTAGAAGGGGATAAGTGCGCTGCGCCACTGTTAAAAGTGGACATGGAATATTGCGTTAGGCAAATGGTACAATCAAAACCTTAGAACTGAGTTACCAGAGATGTGCTGTATGACATACAATCCCTTTTGCCAATGACATGACAAAATGTACTTTTATGAGCAAATATTTGAATACATCATGTCTTATGAAAAGTTATGATTGATCCATATTGATTGTAAGTCTTCAAACAGTCATTAACTTTCAAGCTCTGACCTCTTTAGGATAGGGTAAACTGTTGCAATTAATATACAGTTGCAATCGGTTTAAAATCAATCACAAAGGAGAATGGAGAAGGCAATATTGAAAATCAGCAATAAAATGGTAACAAGTGAATAAAATATATGGTCAATCCAACCATTTGACTAAAACAGTAGACTAAAGATGGACACAGAAGGAATGAAAGGGGAAGCATGAACAAAATGAGAAAAATGAGAAGAACAAGTTTATGCCAAAAGTTTTAGACTAGGAAGTTCACCTTGATCTGTGGTGGACCCTGACTGATCAAGAAGAGCCTGGAAGAGATCTACCATGTGACGGAGCTGAGTGGAGCATGTCTTGAGAAGCTTGTTAGCTTGAGAGTCTAGTGTCGTCCCATAGCCATCATACAGAGGAACACCTGATACAGAAATGGTAACGGTTATATTCATTTCGTTCGAGTTTACTTGTAACATCTAAATGGTAATTAAAATAAATAATAATAATACTACTACTACTAATAAAAAATAATGTCTTTTTTACCCAGGGTATCCTCATCAGTATTAATACTGTTCTCCCTGAGGGCCCTGCAATTATAAGTTAACCCCAGCTTTAGCCTAGTTACCCTGAAAAGGCACTCAAGCATTCAAGGAATTTCTTCCTACCCATATACCTCACCTCAAAGGCTAACCTCCTAATAAAGGCCACCTGTCAATAGAAAAGAAATGTGTTATAGGACATGTCTATCTTATACTCACATATTTCATCCACAGTCTGTTTGATGTTGGCCACTTTACCCCATGCCCATTCCAAGATTGAACGTAGATTCATACCAGATGTAAAGTCTGAAGAAAGATGCAGAGAAAAGAAATCAGACAATACTGTGGCTAGATATGCAGGCAATAAGAAAGCCTAGCTGACTATGCTCAAGGATATAGTGTGGTTCAACTGAACATTAAGTCAGATACCAAGACAACTCATCCCCTTGACTTGAGCCAGGTTTCCAGGCAACAAGAAAGATCAGGTTGCTGACTATGCTCTAAGGCTGTGGTGTGGTTCAACTTATTATTATAACATCAAATCAACTGCATTTAGCAACTTGATGCAAGCTAGATGTATGGGCAACAAGAAAGCCTTGCTGACTATGCGGTAAGACTACAGAGAGGTTCAACTGATTATTACAACATTCAACAAAATACAAACTGAACTTAGCGACTTGATGCAAGAGAGATGTACAGGTTACTAGAAAGCCTTGCTGATTTTGCTCTAAGACTACTGTTGAACTGATTAAAAATAACATCAATTCAAATACAAAGATAACATCCTCTCAAATATGAAGATAACATACCTCCTTGACTCCAGCTGGATATGCAGGCAACAAGAAAGCCAAGCTGATTGTGCTCAAGGGCTAAGGTGAGAAGAGCCTCTCGTTGCTGGACCTGATTATAAATGACCAACATGGAATATGATGGAATACAAACAGCCTCCATTTGAGAACAAGAAATACGTTGCAAACATTTCAAAAGTAAAGCCCTAATACGTAGATTTATACCTCACAAATCCTACACAGAAAATCTTTGCATTTAGACCTCCATTATCCATATCTAGGTATGCTATGTACATTAAGCTTCTGTCTCAACATTCCTAGACACTGGGTTCAGGGTGGCTGAAGGTGCATAAAAGAGAGGTCACTTTATTTCAACTTCTATTATAAAACTGAGTTCATTGCTCATTTAAACTTCTCCTTTTATCATCATTAAGGTATCTCAGAGTTGCAGGACCCTCAGGAAGGCCAGTACTTTACTTCTGAACGTACACTGCATAGAGACATATAGTGATATGCACTAGATAAGTACAGTATATTATTATTACTGGTTTATTAATATGACTATCTCAGTATTGTGACTATCATTATTTATTCATGAAAGTTAGCAACTGCTTTATGTGGAAACTATACTGCAGTTTTTTAAAGGTTGTACAAGGTGAAGTAAAAAGGGGGGAAAAGGACCTCACCTGACTGGTGTTACTTGGAATCTGTTCTGCAAAGTTTCGCCTTGGTATGAGGTGGGCATTCCAGCACCGCATGTAGAATGGGCGTGGCTCTCTGAGGAGGGTGGGGCCCTGGTTGCACATGTCAGCCAGGATCTATAGAGAATGACAGGAAGAAATGACAGGAAGAAATGGCACAATTACATGAGGGAAAGAAAGACATATTTAAATTCTTCATTCTTGCATCATTTGTGTATGGCTTATAATTACTGATATATTTTCATTCCTATAATATTTGGACTATTTGTTAAAGTAAAGCAGTTGCTGTTGCTTGGATGTTTGCTGCAAATGAATTATTGGTTATTGGAATGATACTTGTGTTCAGAGACAGACTGATAGTTGGACCGCTCTTGTCTAACTGAACATGCTATGTAGAAGATACCATTTCTAAACAAATAGGTTAAATGTGTCATGGAATAAACCTGAACTTTAGAATAACAATATTTAACACCTGAAAGCAAAAAAAAACAGGAAGATATCATGTATGAGAACATTGATAGCCAGAGTGCTCAGAATAATTATCTATATATGCTCATATGTTAAGAATAAGACCAACAGCTATTCAAGCCCTGACCATTCTTTTACCACTAAGCCAACATATCCCTTCTTACATTCCTTTATATCTTCAAGAGGCTACCCTATAAATGAATTATGAACCTGAAACCAACCAGTTGTAACCCTTTGATCCAAATCCCAGAGCTAACCGATTCTCGTCTGACCTTCCTATGTCTTCTGAGGAAGTTGGAATGAGAAAAGAAAGCCCTGTGACTTTGTTTAAAATCTCCAAGAAACCCTTTCAATGGACACTGCTTCAAAGCACTAGACAAACTCATTCCCATACCTGCCAACCTTTTCACAGCAAAAATTAGAAATCTCTCAAGGCTAAATTGGGAATGTAGTCTATTTTGTATACTTTTTTACACAGAATATTTCAGGAAAAGAGAGAAATCTAGGGTTCAAAACAATAGCTTGAAGACCAAAATTAGGAATCATTCCTCCAAAATAGGAATGGTTGGTAGCTATTCATTCCATTCTTACCTTTCTTTGTATTCCCAGAAAGCTGGCATGTACAAGGCTACCCTCAGCCAGGCAGACCATGTTGAAATTGAGGGCCGACGGGTGAAGATGCTGCTCAGGTACAGACTGGCAGGTTGACTGGTACTTGGTCAAACTGCCCTTGTCCAAATGAACATTCTGTTTACAAGACATGATTAAAAAAAGAATGATATAGCATAAGAAAATGAAAGAAGAAAACAAGTCAGGGTTACAATACTACTTCGTAGGCACCTTGGGCATCCTGGGGTATAGATACGTGCACACTATAATGTAGCTATTATCTTGAGTGATAGGTAGTTATCCCCATTATGGGGTACCACTAAAAAACTTGAAGTGTCGTAGTCGAGTTGTTTAAGCACTTGACAGGAAATGCGAAGGTCATGGGTTCGACCCTCGGCATGGCACTTAGGTCCTTGAGCAAGGTATTTTATCTACATTGCTCCTCTCCAACCAGGTGAAAAATGGTTACCCGGTAGGATGCGAACACCATTGTATTTGGATTAGCAAGTCTGCGCCCATGAAAAGGCGACGAGCCAGGATGCTCCCCAGGGAGTGGAGAATGTTATTGTAATGTGCAGAATAGTGACTGAATCCAGTGAACGGAATAATGACAATAGTGTACACGCTTTGGTCAGTTAATGGTAAAGTGCTTCATAACAAACAGACATTATTGTTATTAAAACTAAGAATGATGGCAAGTTTTCCATGAGAATCCTCTTCAACTATCCATCAACAGTTACATACAGCCCCACACCCTCCTCCAAACAAGGAACTATGATAGAAATGGTGGTTCTTTACCAGAGCAAAATCTGGAGCCGCAGCATCTACCACTGCTTCTAGGTTATAGAAAGAGAAGTAAGGCGGAGGCTCCGTCAGCTCATCAGACCTAAATTCATACAAAACAAATGGAATCAAAATTTAATTTAACATTAAATGAAATATTACAATAGCTCATATCTAATATAATCAGACTTATATGACATAGTTTCAATAGGCTTCCTAAATGTATGGATTTAACTTTCAACTTGTTGTTAACATTTTTTGTCAAGCCTTTTGTTGCTTGTTTATGGACCCAATTTTCAATAGGGCACAGGCCATTTCAAGTAACTTGAAGTGATAAATTAATTAGGAAATAAAGTAAAATCTTGAGCATTTTTATCTGCTGCAGAGGGAGTCAGTGTTGAAATATAGCCCCTCAATGAACTCAAGACTGCACTTTGCCCTTTGGTATGGGGGATAGCATAGCTTGGGATAGCCTTGAGGCAATATTTGTAACCATTGCCCCTCAAATCAGTCAATAGTCCTTGTTATATCCCGCATACTAAGAATCTTGCAATCTGATTGGTCTAACCGAGGTCACATGATAAATGATAGATATGTACTATCTCCCTGCGATAGGTCTTTTGTACCGTAATTTTGCTGCTGCCCCACTTGACCATTGAATAAGCGTAGCAAAGTAGGTTACGCGAAATGTCAATGTCAAATGAGCGCGCATCGACTGTATGTATGCGTGTTGTGCTTTGTAAAATCTAGCTGAAGCTAAACTGTCTGCAGAATCAGTTTTTTTAATTATGTAAAATTCCCTTTAGATAGACCTTATTGCCGATGTGGGATATAAAACAAATATTAACCTCCTTACTTGGGCAATGTATACAAACTATCATCGCCTCAGTGATCTTGGGGCTACCATCATCCCTCGCCTTGCGGCTCGGGATGATAGTAGCCCCGAGATCACCTCGGCGATGAAAGTTTGGACCATTACCCCGAGTCGATTAATATTTGCTTACTATAAATCACTTACTTGATGAAAGAGGGCATTTGAGCCTGGTAATAGCGGTCCAGATCAAAGAGTGCAATGTAATGGTTTGTTGTGTCCTGGGTTTCCATGTTGGCAGGACAACCCTCCCAGACAAACACTGCAAGACTCAGATCCATCGGGTTTACTAAACAAACAAACAATAAAATAAGAGAAAACATATTCATCAATTAGCAAAGTCAACTGTTCCTGTTTTTTCACTTCATGGTCACCAATGACCTGCAATGCCGTGACCCTATATACCTAATCACCAGAATGTAAATGTACAAACATTTACAAATTGTAATTTGAGTGAAGACATTTAAATCACTTAGTACAAAGTGAGGGAAATTAATTTAATAATGACCGGTACCTGCTGTCAAAATGCCCAATTACCTCAAATATAGGTGTTCTACTACTACATCATCAAATCAACAAACATGAGAGTTAATTTACTTTGAGTGGTATCTATACAGCCTACAGAAAGACTTCAAACTAGTCAAAAATTCTTCTCACTGATGTCGCACCACATAGAACACAGTAAAATATAGGTTGAGTGGCTAGAATGGGATGAAGCTGCATTCAATCTGGAAAATAGGCTCGCAAGACCTTTACACAAATTGACCACAAGCAGTCCATAACAACAACAACCCTATAATGTAATCTTGATATAATCCACCTTAACTCTCTACAGGCCTAGGTTGACTCATGAAACAACTAGGGAATGCCACACTCAACTTTTGTCACACAGTGTTCATGTAATATACTCTAAACGATGGAGCCGTCCAAGGTTTCAATCCGTGACGACTAAACATACCTACAGTACTTATAAATAAATATTCAATTCTATACGAGAGAAGAAACTTACCTTCTTCCTCGGCCGTGGAATCATCATGGATCTTATAGCCCGGAGGCACTGCTCTGTCCAGGGTATAGCAGGCTAGCAGACGACTGCCCAGGGAGTTCACATCACTGCTGTCCAAGGGGGTAGCCGTCAAGCAGTGCTCAAATCTACCAATGCAGTCCACTAGGTCCTGGGATATGGCAAAGAGTAGAAATGAGTGATTACAAAAAGTGTATTATTGGCTTGCTCTTGATTCCACGAGACGACTGAGACAATTTGCAGTAGTTCTCTCAAGTACAATGACTACTAAGTTTTTTATATTAGATCAGCAAATTGCTGATTACGATACTCTATCAGCGAGATCAGAAGAGAGAAACAATTTGAAAAACAGAGAGAGAGATACAGACAGTAACAAAAGAGTTTTAGTGAGAGAGACGGAGACAGAGAGATTTTAAAATACAGAGCAGGAGAGACAGGAACAGGGAGAAAGAAAGGAAAAGAGAATGATAGAAGGAAGAAGAGGAAGAAGAAGAAGAAGAAGAAGAAGAAGAAGAAGAAGAAGAAGAAGAAGAAGAAGAAGAAGAAGAAGAAGAAGAAGAAGAAGAAGAAACAGAAGAAGAAGAAGAAGAAGAAGAAACAGAAGAAGAAGAAACAGAAGAAGAAGAAACATCAGCAGCACAAACACAGACATCAAGATTGTATTGAAGGCATGATATAAAGACCATACCTGGAACATATGTCCATGCTTTGGGTGTTGTGTCTTGCTCTCATAGGCCAGCTGGAATAGATGAATGTCAGTTAGAGCCTCCTGGTCCCTGTTATATAAATAAATAAGAGTAAAGGGTGTCATTAACCAGTTATCAAGAAAATATTAAGTATTAAGTTTTAAAGGACCAAAAATAATGCACATGTGGGACTATTGATTCGCACTTACTACAATATTTCAAAGGTTTTAAATCAAACAAATTCAGACAATATCCATTATAATCTATATCACAATAGCTACAAAGGGATGCCGATACTTACTTTGAATCAGAGAGCACAGGACCCCTAGCAACCCAGAGGTAACAGAAGTTTTGAGGATCATCCTCAGGTTCCTGGTAGGCAAAGTGTGTAACAGGTGATGGGTGGCGGCTCAATGGGCCACTATACCTATAAAGGGGACGAGAGAATAATAATTAAAAGCATAATAATATGGAGATATGAAGAAAAGGGGTGGTTCCTGAGAGGCAATGAGTGTTACAGGTGATAAGGGGAAAAGAAAAAAAATGTTAATAGCAATGTTGATATTAATGGCCCTTCGATTACATGTGTTCTGTTCCTCAAATTTTGAAATTTAAATTTCAAGATGAGCTATATCAGCCTTCTCCAATAAGAGATTGGTTGAATCCTGAAAGTTATCTGCCTGTCAACAATGTATTCAACAAAAAAAAAAAATCTCGAGAACTACTTTGAGCCATACTTGCAAAGCTGATATCCAATGATTTTATTTATCATAACCATGAACAGGAATTGTGTTACAGGGGTTCTTTCTGAACTGATAGGGGCAATCCGCCCTAGGCATCACCAAACTATAATGGGTGATAATGAGTCACCCTGTCTAAATATCAGAAATGAATAAATACATTCATAATAAATAAATAAATTAATTAATAAATTAATTAATTAATAAATAAATTAATAAATTGTATAATTTGTTCTTACTCTAATGAGGTGTCGGCCAATCTCCACAGCTGGAATGACCCAAAGTTGAAACCAACGACGAGTGACCCGATCTGTGGAATGTAGGTCAGCGAGGTCACTGAGACTTCACCGATGGGGAAGGTCTTGAAGGTTTTACCGTCCGGCTTGCAGTAGTTGAACGAGTAATAGCTGAAGGCATCACCTAAGAAAAAGTAAAAAAGAAGAGGAAAAACAAATTATAGTATGGTCTTATTTACTTAGGGTAGGCTTATCAGTACTAATACTTCTCTTCCTGTGTGCCCTACAATTATTACTACTACAGCATTGCAAGGTAAACATGTAAGGCCAAATAACAACAATCTTGTCAGAACTTTTAAAAATAAGGAGGAGGCAGTGCATTACTTTATTTTCCAAGATTGCTGCCATGCTGATTATAACTGGCCAAGCCTATTTATTCACAGATATTGTGCTATGTTGAGTATACTGATGCAATGTATGACAAATTGTATCACTTTAGAAGCTATTTAAACAAAATGTATATCACAGGTTCTTCTTCTTTTTTTGTTTTGGCTTAAAAAAAAAGAAGTAATACCGGTAGTTTTAAAAAATGGAGGCAGGCAGGGACGAGAAACACTTCATTTTTGTTATTTGGCCTAATATGATTGGGTCAAGAAGGACAGATGTGATTGAACTGAAAACACATTGTCCAAGAATGTATGCATCGAGCAATGATCAAACAAATGAATTCTCATATGAGAGTCAGGAGCCTTTACCAACTTGCGAATGCTCCCACAAAAATATGCATATATTTCATGAAAAAAACAAAAAGAATAAAAAATGATGAAAAGAAAATTAAGACAAGTCAGATAAATAAATTAGTGATAGTCTAAAAACCCAAATGACTCAAGTCAGCTTGTAAAAATTGGTCAGAAACCCTAGCAAGCCTTGAAAGGCATTAACCAATCACTGCAAACTTTTCAGTAGAAACTTTTATTAAGGAATATACACTGCCAAAAATATAAGCAATGTTCAAATCTATCGAGAAATCAACAATATTTTTTTACTCAACCAACAAAAAATTAAATTATAAAAAGTAGGTTGCATCATGAATAGAAATTCAGATTGGCTTAGAAAGTGCCTGATAAAAAAAAAATTAAAAAATAAAACTAAAACATTCCAGCAACCATGATAGTCAAAGTAAGAGGCAAAGTTGAAATAAACGTGTAAAACTACAAAATTAAAACTTTTATATCAAATCTATCAATAAAGTCAGTTTTTCTTTTCCATAACCCCAAAAACCAAACATACGGTAATGGTTCTAAGAGAAAACATGATAATACATGAAATAGAATCAAATTGATAAAAGGAAATAGCACAGCAACCAAAAAAACTTTCAGTTCCTAATGCACTCACCAGTTAAACTTGCAGGGCTTACATCTGACATGCATTCACACACATAAATACAAAAAATTGTCTTCAATATGGTGCAAATTGAGAGGGGTGTACATGTTCAATTGACTTTATACTTTCCTCAATATGATATTGGGCATGATCTTTAATACTACTGTAAAGCCACAGCGCTTGACTATCATGCCAGGAGCAGGCCTAGTCCAGATTTGTGAGTTTAATGCCCCAAATAAATTAATCAGAACACTGATATACATTGTACAAGTTTCATCCACCAACTATGGCTGTCACTAATAACTGGTTTTAAACTAACAGAAGTCCAACTTACTATTCAGATCGAGACAAAGATGTTCTCCTTTTGAAGCCGATTTGAGGCGTCTCTGATCGATGTCAGTGATCCCCGGCGCTATGATCTGAGCAGGGCACCCTCGTGTGGTATCCCAGAATTCAACCTCTTCATCCAGCTTCATGTCCAGCAGGTAAACATGGCCGCCTTTGGTTCCCACGGCAACGATGCCAAAGAAACGCCGGAGCTCGTCACTGAGGGCAAAGTTTGGGGATTCTATGCCACCGACGGAGGTAACACAGTCAATAGCAGTTACCTAAGTGAGAGAGAAAGAGCAGGCTCTGATTCTTTGATTCTTGTCAAACAAGAGAATAAAAGGGTACTGATCAGATGCTGCAGAACAGTGCTACTCTGCTTTTAAGGTATCACTTTCGCAAGCATAAAGCCTTGTTTAGATATGATGCAGCAAACCCACCGTGTCCCTTCTTTAATGGCGATGTAAAACATCATACACTTCACAATTCACATTTCTGCATATTGTAACACAGAGCCATTAAAGTACACACTCACAGGACCTTTGTTGCGGGCAGTTGCCATTCATTTATTCATTAAAAAATGCAGCTTTGGGATTTTTGTTTTTGTTATTATGCAGTATTTTACATCTGACCTAGCCTCTGGTGTTAAATAATGTCAAAGCTTTGTCTGTCCTTCGTCAAAAAGAGGAAAATGATAATCAGACTGGAGCCATTTTACTTCCCATAAATCGCTCCTTCAGTTGATAGCAATAAAGTGAACTGTTGTTACCAAAGATAGATTTGGTAGGATTACATGCCAATAGGATAAAGGAGTTATCAGACTTTCTGATATATTATAAAGATAAATTCATAAACTGTACCATTCACAGTTCAGATGAGACACAAGATTTATCTAGGCTACTTTTAGAATGCCCCAACAGTATTTATCTGCAAAGGCAAGGAAATTCTTTGATTATGACTTCATATTTTGGATAAGTTTAAAAGGCAAAGGAAAAGAACTCAATTAAATTTTCATTACCACATGTGGGAAGTTAACAACGGTGAGCAGTTTGGATGAGTGTGGCCTGAAACGACAGACCATGCCCTTCTCGGATGCAGTCTGGAGTCCCACCAGAAGCTGGTAAGACCTATGACAGGGGTAGTCTTTGACGCAGGTGATGGTTGCAGAGGACCCTGCCACCTGGCTGAAGTTGAAGGAAGATAGACGGTTCCCGGTCCTGGTGCAGACCACGTCTAGGGTGCTGTCCGTAGCCACCCATCCTCTCTTTCCATCTAGCAAATCAAGATTAGAAATTCATTCTTTTAAATAATATATGGATTTCCACTATTTATCATTTATTATCACACATTCCAAAGTCTGATGCAGACAATTACCAGTTTACAGATTACCAGATTACACTTTATGAAGACAAAACACCAGCAGACACATACAAAAAAAGGAGGGATTAGGAGGATTAGACCTCCCTGCATGGTCACTGACAGGTGGTCATTTCATCAAATCAGCTCTCAATTAAATAAGAAAAAGGGGATTATGGGGGACCAATTAATCATCGTTTGCTGTATAGAGGGCGCAAGTAGTTATAAGTACTGGTAGTGCAGTGGGGCTTTAATACTATTTACCTTTACTGAAACCTCCAAATATGTTGACCTCTCCTGCTTTGTTTGAGAAGGAACTTAATTCTGAGGACACTATTCCTATTGGCTCAGCTATGCTGTGAGGCTCTATCACACAGTTCTCCATCTTGACATCAGAGTTGGCTGGTCATTTATTCATTAGACATCTAAACAGAAGAAGAAAAAAAAATGAAGGTGAAATATTTAAGACCGTTTACATGTAGGTATACGCGACATGGTAATGTATCATGTGAGAATCCATTTGTTTTAAACGTCCAAATTTTGTACATCAAATTAACATGGAGATTCAGCGCTCACAGCAACCAGGAAATGCACGTAACGATTATGAGGTGGCATTTCACCAGGATTGACGATAGATGTCCAATTTAAATTTTCAACATATTTTTTCCTACATCGGTGAGTTGAGTTTATTGTAATTGGCTGCTAATTAGGTGTCATCAATTGTCACTAACGTGCCGATTTTGGAGTGAATTACGGTAAAATTGTACAGTGGTGGTTGAGAGTTTAAAAGAGGGTGTCTTTTTTATAATTTCCATTACACACAAAAAATGCTGCTACGAATGGTGTACATTGTAGACGAGAGTTAAATCTTAACTTGTCATGATGATTTGAGTCATTTCATCAGTAGGGGCGCTGGTCTGTCTTCATAAACACGGACTGATGCGTCCTCATAAATAAGGATCGTCCGCATGTTCGCAGATGTTTCATATTTTTAATTGGCGCGTTGATGATGCGAAAAACGGATTCTGCAATGATTTTCTTGATGCATTTTACATTGACTTCTTAAAGAGACTTTCACATTATGAGCGATAAATCCATTAAAGTAGACAGTGAACTAGGGTTATTATCTCACATGGAATCCATTTTTCGCATCGCCAGTGGGGGGTTCGGTAACCCGAAACCCGCAGAGTGCCGATGAAAAAAAAAAGACTGCGAAAATGCAGACTATCCTTATTTCTGAAGACGCATTTTGTCCGCGTTTATGAGGACGATCCTCATTCTCGGACCAGCGCCCCTTCTGTTCATACTGCCACAGGTCTACCTCTGCAATGCTCATTGACACTATTCACTGCCTCACAAGGAAGGTTCAGTGCAGGTGACTGCCTCGCCCAAGCAAAGAATTGTTAATTTTAATTTAAGAAATGTACAGAAATATTACAGAAATATTCTCAATTTATTTGTAAAACCAATCGTTTTAATAATAGCTCTAATCCCTATTTCGTTCGCATCTTAAATGATTATTATTCAAAAAAGTAAGCTTCATGCATTGTGTATATTTTTTAAGTTTAATGATGCTGTCTATTATACGTATGAATGCATCTAGTATACATGTATTTATCCTTTATAGGTCTATGTCATTAATTTTATTTCATGTTCACATGTACAATGCTGTATTTTAAACCTTCATACCTTGTAAATGACCTGCAATTCAGCTTCGGCTGCCATAACGTCATATGAATAAAAACCTTTATTGAATTGAATTGAATTGAATGACAAGCGGATCACTCAGGCTCAGCATCCCCATCTCTTCTTCAGATTTAATTCACTTTTTCAAAGTCAAACTCAAGCCTCCTCTCTCTTTCTCTCCTTTTTCATTTCTCCTCTTGCTTTTCATTATGATTATGACCATGTAATGTAACTGACACAATCCTCCTGTCAATCTAGAATCCTATTCAGATCTAAAATTAGTTATCATAATTTCTTCCTCTCTGCAACTTTTTTGGGGTGTTTTTTTTAAACTTTTATTTCAAATTTTAATAAGAGTCTAGAGTAAAGGAGCCGGTTTTCGGCCACTTAAGACAAAATCCTATTTTTTGGACTCTTTACTTCCTATTTATTATCATTTCTTGTTCAAATCATGAAGCAAATATTATTATTATTTAAACAAAAAAAGTATCCCAGAAAAAAATCACGAATTGCCATGATAATATTCATTTCAATTTTCACTGTTTTGGAGCCGGTTATCGACCTAGCGAGTCAGTTTACGACCGCATGTACAAAGTCAATAGGAAGCGCACGCGCGCGTCGTACGTTTCCGCGCTGATCTATAGCACAAGCGGGCGGAGCAGGTATCCCATGCCGGAGCTCCCCGGTGCTCGCTTGGTCGAAAACTAGCACTGCGGTGATCGGAAATTGGAATCTGAATTAGACGGACATATCGTGTGTGCATCGCGGTGTTCGACTGCATTGATTTAATACATGCGATGAGATACTTTTGAGCTTGCGACTAACACAAAATCGGGTTCCAAATCTGAAAAATACTTGAAATAAAGCTCATTTTATGGTACCCATATTTCTTACAGACACGCGTAAGATACTTGATTTTTCAGATTTGGGTAGCGGGACCGCCGATTACATCGCTAAAATGTGATATTTTAGTACATATTTTCCATTGCAAATGTGGTTCTTCAGTGAATCTGGCATGGTATGGTATGTGTGGGATATGTGATATGCTATTATGCGATGTATTTTAAAGGGATTTTACCATGCATCCAACGTATCGGCTGAAAACTGGAAATGGTCTAGAGTAGTGTCTCCGGTCTGCGGCCGATCGGCGGGAACTGCCGATTCTATTTTTATTGGAATACTCACAGAATACTTCAATACCCTCAATAAAGAGTCCATATACTTACTTATTAAATAGAAGTCACAAATAACCAAACTGACCCACAGCGTGGTCAGCATTGACCATGTTTCGAAATGCTTCGAGTTCCCCGGTTTGCGGGCACGCAGTACCGGTTTGCGGCACGCGTACGTCACAAAGCTTTATGCGCTACGTCACGATGAAAGCATGTACCAAATTACTACGGGTAACCCAAATTCTCATGTTTATCTGTTGCTACGGTAAATTTGTGAAGTTTTAAACAATTTCACCTTTTCCTCGAATGGATCATCCCATACGGGGGTACGTACTACTAGAAACTATTGGGTCATAGGGGGTACACACATCAGCACACATACCATCATACACGATCCTGCATGTTATGTGTGTATTAACCAGAAAAACACGTTATTACGTGCCGGTTTGCGGCCACCCCATGCAACTAGCCATGCGGTGGCACAATCAAAATATCTGCGATAGGAGACAGACCACAGCCATCATACTTCCACAAAAACATCAAATTTCACCTCCAATCGGACAAATATCGGACAAATAGAGCTACAATATTGATCTAGTCATGCCTCGATCTCTTAACTTAAAAGTTAGTACCTGCTGGAATTTTCATCGGCGACTGGTGCCGTAGATTTCCGACATCGCTGACGGATACTCCGTACCGATAGGAGCACCTGCTACGGACATTTTCGGCAAAGCAGATCTTACCGTGGAATCCACGGTAGGTTTCAATGATTATTATCGAGTCATATTCATTTTATTTTTGAAAAAAATACCCCTGGCCGCAAACCGGGCGATGCCGCAAACCGGAGACTCTACTCTAGACTAATTTTGGACCACTAAAAAAACTAAACTGTAGACCTAAAAACTAAAAACTAAAATATAGCGTATGAAAGTGGAAATTCAGCTCTACTTTTGTTAGAGTTTTGAATGTTATGGTGCTTGGATTATTGTGCAGCAAAAATCGGCACATAATAGATAACTTTAATAAGCGCGATCGCAAACAGACACATGAATATGAAAGACGTCAGATCCCAACACAAATGTTGTAGTGTGGGACTGTACTAGGTCTGAGGCCTTACAAAGTAGTCCAGACTTGTCTCCTCAACAGCTTTAATCATGTTACACCCACAAAGTGCAGAGTATATAACATAATCATCAACGAATTAACAATCATACCTGAATATACATGAATTTGTGACAAATGAAATAGATTCATCGACTTCAGCTCAGTACTTCCCGCGGTCAGCGAGCGAGCGAGGAACATATTATAATTTTTCAACGAGAGAGGGAGCTTTGATTTTTTTTTTTTAATCGCTTAAAAAATTATATCGGGGTGGGGGGGGGGGGTACGTTTTACTCCTTTTTCTTTCAGTTTATCTGCTTCATTCCATTCTTTTTCTAATTTTCGATGAAATGTATTACAAAATGTTTCGTTGTGATTATAAAGGACAATTTCTTTTTTTTTTTGCTGATTTTGTTTGGTTCTTAAAAGAAACTTGGCAAGAAAACAAAATAAAATTGTTCCATAATAAAGCATGTTTATTTTTAAACAATCAGGAGCTTAAAAGTGTGTCTTTTTCGGAGTCGCACAGGTAGAAGCAATAAGTCAAGCACTTTTATGTAAATTCATGCCAAAAGATGGAATTATGAAAGATTTAGTATATTATACAACAGAAGTACAGAACCGTAAGAGTGACTCATGCACAGCTATAGGGTCTACGTTGTGATATCTAAACCATACAAAACAAGAGTCTTGACAAAGATAGATCAGTCCTCAAAATTAAGTCCCAGCAGAGAAATCAAAGGGAACATTTGAGAAAATTTGGATGAAAAGGGACAACCTAACACTTATATGTTGTTGAAACAAATAAAAATAAACATTTCATTCAAATTAACGTTTGTAATGTGCCATTCTTTCACTAATGGCTTAGTTGTTTTTTTAAGTTCAAGTTCAAGTACATTTTATTCAAAACAAGTCGCAATAAGATGGGTGATGAAAGCGCAATCGCAACAGCAATAACTGATTTCCAATTGTGGTGTGACGACACTCAACTACGACAAATATTTGCCATAAAGCCCGACGCATATCGGATAGGCTAGTTCATGTGGTAACAACTTTTTTGAATTACTTAACACATCTTTACACTACAAATTTACAGTGTATGCACTTAATTGGAGAGCAAAATAATTATTCGTTTTATTTACTAATGTAAAGCGCTCTGAACATGTTTATTAAGGCGATATGTAAATATCAATATGCATGTATGTTTGTAATCTTCGACGCAAAACAAAATTGGACATAATGTTGCATAATGGAGCGTTATATAATACTTGATATCAAAAACTGGTAAGAGGGGAGGGACTCTTGAAATGCATTTTAGAATGGGACGTATCTGCCGGTGTGTCCGCGCCGTTTGTCCTTCCAGTTTCGTTTGTCCGTCGGACATAATATGCGGGTTTTCTGCTCGCACGGATCGTCCGGGGGACGATCCGTGCGGTTTGCTATCCGCACATTTTGTCCCCCATTGTTTTACGTGTATATTTGATAAAAGAAAACAACTCGGCAATGTATTTAGACTCATTGTAAATCATCTGGTTGACATTTTTTCTAGAAATTACATAATAATAACTCTACAATTTTTTTAAAGCAAATGGGCCAGTCCTTTTGAAAGTAGAAGTGAATATTTTCTTTAAAACCTTTATTTTATGAAGGCATACTCGTGACATCGGCCCCACAACTGTTGTAATCGATTATACTTTTCTACGTGGGTTTGTACTTCAACCAACTCACTACTAGTATATACTCGTGATACAGGCCCCGCTCCAAGTATTTGGGGACGTTTCGAGGTTTAATGAAGGAGCTAATTGGGAAATAAAAGTGATTAAAAATGGGGTTGAAAGTGAGTGGAGGAGGCTAGAGTATTTAAGATGAGGTAGAGCGTAGCACAAATTGGCGGATGCTCAGGGGGTAGGGGCATTTAATTACGGTCAGATGAGCATATTTTAATACCTTATTCATGACACTGGCAGGTCACTAATTGGCGTATGGTCCAAGGGGCGGAGTCCCCGGAAGCGCAGGGGTTTTAGGCATTAAAATTAAGGTCAGATTAGCATCCAGGGGCCAGCCTTAGGTCCTAAGGTGGGGTCCAGGGGGCAGAGCCCCCGGAAGCTCAAGGGTATGGGCATTTAATTACGGTCACATGAGCATACTTTCTTTTCTATTTCTTTCTCTTTAATATACTTTTTCAAAAGTGTGTGTGTGGGGGGGGGGGGGCTCGAGCCCCCAAGCCCCCCCCCCCCACGGGCCTCTAAATAGTTAATAAACACATTTCTTGCCTGACTGTAAATTTTGATATTTATCATTCTCCCACAAACGCATAAAAAGTAAAATTTACTAAAAAGTGAGGAAAAATCCCGGAAAATTAGGCGGTTTCAGCAGCATCTGCAAATCACTGGTATTAAATTAGAACAAAAAATTCACTTTTAAAGTTTATTTTGGTGGGGGGGGGGGGTAGCAACTGGCTGAATACTTAGACCTATGGTGTCGAGGGGCTCTTTCTTTATTTTTGTTTTCTTTATTTTTGTTCGGTAATAAATAAGTTTAGTTTATGTTGGTGTCACTCAGGCGCGGATATACGGGGGGCGACGGACGCCCCCCCCCCCCCACCCCCCTCTTTGAAAAAAAAAGAAAGGAAAGGAAAAGGGAAAGAAAGAAGGGCTAAAACACGAGTTAGAAATGGACCCATCAAGGCGCTCACGTATCCGTATCAGGGGGAAAAATACACGGGGGCTCGGGGTGAATTAGCCCCCGAAATTCCAAACAGAGCCCCCGAAAGTCATAAAAGTAACCCCCGAAATTGTTAAAGTATTTTTTCCCTGATCCGTATATAGGAAGCGGCCCTGGGGCAGCTAGCCACACTCCGATATTTGGGTCGTTTTCCGATTAGAACTAGCCCTAACTATCATTCCAGGATTTTGTTTCAGAACCTGAGACAAAGTCAACCAATCCCTTTAAAGGAAACCGAACCCCAAGTAATAACTTTACCTATTCTGAGAGATGTATTATATTATTGCCAATAAATCTACAAGATTCCCCACCAAAGTGTATCAGAGAGGTATGAAGCAAAAATAAATTACAGTTTCTCAGCACGACATGGGCATCGCCATTTTCTTGATAATGTGACGTACTATGCGAAGTCGGTTATCAAGTAAATGTATTCAAATTTATGGATGCTCCTTTCCCAGACGTGTGTGGTGATGAAGCATTTCATTCACCTGCTATTATCCTTTGTACTATAATTGCCAGAACGCAAATTGCATAAGTAAGTTAGTGCTTTTCTGAGGTGAAGGTTTCTCATAAATGAAATGGATTTGTCAACTGCTATAATGTAGTATTTATAATTAATTTTGTTACAATTGTGCCGCTGTTATTTATTTTTCAACTTATATAATTTATATCATCTCACTTATTTTTTTTTCATTGAAAATTAAAGGTTTCGTTACTGATTTAACATTTCTTTCCAAATAAAGCTTGGTGCATGATACATATGGAACTTCAACAGGTACGTCACATTTTCAAGAAAATGGCTGCGCCCATGTTATGCTGAAAGGCATCACATCATGCGAAGAATATCTTTATTTATATATATCTTGTATATTTTCGTAAGGAATGTTGTACATCAAAGGGCAGGAATACATCTCATTTTTCAGAATACCTACACTTAATTATTCCTTGGGTTTAGGTTTCCTTTAAGTTTAAAAAAGTAGACTTCATTGACCTGTACATAGGCTTAGGAACCGGAGGGTGCTTGGGGGCATAGCCCCCCAACAAAAGTATATATATATATATATATATATATATATTGGGGGGGGGGGCTCACATATCATTGAGCCCCCCCCCCCAATATTTCGGCCGGGCTCGGGTATCATGAGCCCCCCCCCCCTCCCCAATATTTTGTTCGCGCTGATGAGTTGAGGGAAGTGTATGCCGGAGATGACTTTGTAGCATTAACTTGGCAGCTAACAAACCTCCAAGACGTGTATGACGATGAGAGGAAATCTATCAAATACATTAAAACAATCTGTGAGATTTTCAACAACAGTCCAATCTATAAGAGATCGTTCTCAAAGGTGCACATTCTTCTTCTCATTTACCTTACCATCCCGGTTACAACGTAAACTTGCGAGAGAACATTCTCTTTCTTGAAAGGGATCAAAACTTATCTGATCAGTACAATTACCCAAAGAAAGCTCAACCAAAGCTTAATATTATATAAATCTCGTACAGATAATCTGGACTTGAAAAATATTGCCCAAAACTTTGTTTCCAGGAACACATGAAGACAAAACTTCTTTGTTACATTTTGTCTGAGGCTGCATGTGCACCTCAAAAGAAGAAAAGTCTGAAAATTTTCGCCGCGATGACATAGACGAGGAATTTATTTCCAGGTGCAAATTAAAGACAAAGGAGGATCTCAGAATTATATTTTTTGGGTGGTGCCACATTTCAGTTTTTAAATATGTCCGATTATAGGCATTACAACAAAAGTTTTGTTTTTCACGTTCCTGGGGTATTATTTTTTCCAAAGGTGTTAAATGTGTGTTATTTTAACACCTAGTACTTTGTCTTACTTAATAAAAATAAACTAAATATCATACAATTCAACAATTTCTTCAAGTAAGCCTACTTTTATTAATTTCTTCAACTGCTTAAAATTAAGGCTACAAATGCTTTTTTACTGTAGAGCTGCAGTGTGAACAAGCTACTTAGTAATTCACATTTATAGATTGGTGCACATCATTATGCTTGATCATCCTCTCCTATCTGTTTGTTGCCGTTCCTCTGTTAGTCATCCTTTATTTCCTTTTATTATATAAATGAACATGTAAATACCTATATATGCAAAATAAACCCTGGAGGTTTAAAGTTGTAAAGCCCAGGGCAGTTCAACACACGCAATCATGAAATAAGAGTGTCTTCATCGAAGTGTCTCTGTAAGTTTAGAACCACGCCCTGTGCCTACCCGCTCAGGCCACCCTACATTCAGGGGCGTCGCTAAAGGGGGGGGGGGGCTGGGAGGTTGAAAAGCCGGTGGGATTTTTTTATGTCGGTCGGCCAGCAATTTTTCCCCTTCGAACTGTGACTTTTTATCGGACAAAGAAACATTTTTGAAAATTCAGACAATGATTTAGAGTCGGTACAATGAATCGTCTTCTTTTTCTAATAATTTAATGAAACGTCGAAGCTCCCGCGCTTCGCGCGAGAG